TCTCAAAGATCTAATTCTCAATTTATCGTCTCCAATAACTAAGAGGGAATGATGGTGATATTTGCTGTACTGTACTGTACTTATTTTTTGTGTTCCCTGAAGTACTTGTTTCTAGGCACCAATGACCCAAATCCTCCTAATTCAAATAGTTATTGTATCTAGAATCATGACCGGCATGTACTTTGTTGGACGAAAACACTCCCAAATTCATAAGATTGATAGGAATTCTAATTCCACGGAAGCTGTAGTTGCACTGATGTATCCTGCCTTTGATTAAGCAAAGTGTTTCTAAAATAAGGGCTACTTACAACATCTGGGGAGTCTTGGGGGGGAGGCTTTATATAATTTATTTTACAGATCTAATATAATTTATTTTACAGACATACAGAGCGTTCTGCAGGAGCAAAAGATATGGACGGTTCTTGTATTTAATTATGTGTTTTAGTATTAATGCATATTAGTCCTAATTCAATGTTTCATTAAGGATATTAAAGAGGTGAAATCATCTGAGGAGGCCGAGCTATCAAACATGAAACTGAATTCGAAATGTTATCTGAGACACAAAATCAAAACTAATTAAACCTGATAATCTGTAGCTTTAAACCACAGATGGTCCTTAGTACTGCATTCCCTGTAATTAAATGTACATTTGATGGGGACCTTAATGATTAATTACACTTTGCTTTATTACATAGTACTCGGGTATATTTTTTTCTGTATATCTGCACTTAAATCAAGTACGATGTTCGGTTAGGGATCCCCTTATTATTTGACCATTGAATTCTGTCTAGGCAGGTATACATTGTGTCAGCCAACGGTGAAGTGTATGATATAAAATGGAATGAGTGGTATATTCTGCTCCCTTCAATGCTCTGCATTGTTTAAGCAGAAGGGGGAGCTCAATGGATTGAAAATGCAAAACATATTTGCAAAATTTCATCTCTTATGTAGAAAATTCATAAAAATTAACTCTTCTCTGCCAAGTTTCAACCAAACGTTTCTAAGTCACTCGAGAGTTTAATGAATCAGCTATTACCACCAAGTCCAATGCAAATAAGTATGCTATAAAGAAAATACACTTTCAAGCATTTAAATAGATTGCATGATGTTGCATATTTTATATTTTTTACGTGTTTTTTGTTGCTGTGATGGAATTTTTGCATTTACAGCGAGGTTAAGAGGTCCTTTGCCTACTGCAGAAAAGGCAACTTAGAGACTGAACTGCTGCAAAACCTCTAGAATTGTCATTTAGTACTCTGCGTCATGGGATGGCGATGTTTCATAATGATGTACATTAACTGACGTTAGAGAGACAACAGAATTTGCGATGATCACTGTTAACAGTGTATGCTGCCTTGAAGAGCCACTCTCATCAGTTCCAGGCAATCTGACACATGTATGCCCCTGTGCTGCCCTACAATGAATCGGATGCAGATGCAGTGATTTAAGACACACAATGCAGTATAGTTTTATTGCACTGTGTGAGAACACAATGTGTCTTGCAGGATTTTAGAACATGATATATGAAAGAAGACTGTAAACCATGTATTATGTTAGAATTATATAATCAAAGGGTTCTGGAGACATCATAATAATTCATAATATAAATATCCCAAGAATTATGAAATTGGATAATTTCTCCCTCTGCCTACTGACGGGTGGATAGTGCACTCATAAAACCCATAACATTTGACCCATCAAGCACCCATAACTTTATGCCCCCTAAATCAGTCACCATAATGACCCTCATACACTTACTCTGTAATTATAAGTTGACCACAAATCCCCATTTGGTTCAATGTCATTTCAATTCAGTAAACAAAGAGTGTGACGGGAGCTCAACTGAATTTTGCGATAGCAAATTTGATAGTCGCAAATAGTTCCCAATGAATTGTAGAGAAACTGAAAATAAATAGATTTAGACAAAAAAGAAACCCATATAATACTAGGTTTCGAAAAATTCTAATCTTGAATTTTGGTTTTCAATTCACCACAATTCACAGTTTATTAAATATATTATAAATAATATTATATCATACATTCATATATTAATTTCAAGGGACAGTCTTTGCACCATGACCTACATGTTGATAATTAAAACTGACTATCCAGTTCTGGGAAATACAGTTTACACATGATCAATTCCAGTGAGTGGGCTATTGACACCCCCTGCCTAATAACGGTTTTACCAACAATCAGTGGATGGCACCTGCAGACTAATGGCACCATAACCACCACAGCAGCATGCAGTGGGTATGGTGCCTAGATAAGGTGTATGTTATAAAATGTAAATATATGTATATATGTAAATAGTGTAGACTGGATTAGCCATATTATTCCAGTAGAGATATATACACACAGACACACATGATACCTATCACAGAGCTTGGTGATAATAATAATAATGTTATCAGAGAGCTTGGTGTTATTACAATACCTATCACAGAGCTTGGTGATAATAATAATAATGTTATCAGAGAGCTTGGTGTTATTACAATACCTATCACAGTGCTTGGTGATGTGGTACATATCAGAATAATCATAATGTATATATTACATATCATAATGTGATGATAATGTATATATTGTAATTTGATGATCATAATAATGTACATATTATAATATGTTTGATAGTAAAAATATATATATATATATGATAATGTATGTATTATAATATGATAATAATAATGTAGATATAATATGATGATAATAATACTGTATATATTATCATATGATGTGATAATAATGTATATTATAATATGTTTGATAGTAATAATGGATATATATATATATATATATATGATAATGTATGTATTATAATATGATAATAATACTGTATATATTATGATATGATGGTAATGAGAAAGTACATATAATAATAATAATATTATAATAATGTATATGTTATATATATATATGAATATTAATAATGTATATATTATATGATGATAATAATGTACATATTATAATATGATAATGTATATATATATATGATAATGTATTTATTATAATATGATAGTAATAATGTATATATATGATAATGTATATATTGTAATTTGATAATATAATAATTAGTATTTATATAGAGCCTTTCTCCCAGTGGGACTCAAAGCGTTTTTCAGCGCATGCTCTTGGAATTACCAAGTCGGCAACTGAATAATAATAGAGGTTATTATTACCCAATTGATGGTACTCATTTAATCGACCTCGGAAGGATGAAGGGCTGAGTTGACCCAGCCAGGATTTGAAACTGTGACTTTGCATTTTTGTAGTCAGGGAATTTACCAAGTGAGCAACGTAATAATGTACATATAATAATAATAATAATAATAATAATAATAATAATAATAATGTATATATTATACTATGATGATAACAATGTACATATTATATATGTAATAATAATGTATATATTATACTATGATGATAATAATGTACATATTATATATAATAATAATAATAATAATAATGTATATATTATACTATGATGATAATAATATTGCATATATTGTAATTTGATAATAATAATAATAATGTACATATTATATATTATAATAATAATGTATATATTATACTATGATAATAATGTACATATTATATATAATAATGTATATATTATACTATAATGATAATAATATTGCATATATTGTAATTTGATAATAATAATGTACATATTATATATTATAATAATAATAATGTATATATTATACTATGATATTAATGTACATATTATATATATAATAATAATGTATATATTATACTATGATGATAATAATAATGTACATATTATATATATACATACAGTATATGTAATAATAATAATTTACATATTATATATATATATATACAGTATATGTAATAATAATGTCAATCAATATACAGTATATACAGTATATGTAATAATAATAATGTACATATTATATATATACATACAGTATATGTAATAATAATAATGTACATATTATATATATATATATACAGTATATGTAATAATAATGTCTATCAATATACAGTATATACAGTATATGTAATAATAATAATGTACATATTATATATATATATACAGTATATGTAATAATAATGTCAATCAATATACAGTATATACAGTATATGTAATAATAATGTACATATATATATATACACAGTATATGTAATAATAATGTACATATTATATATTATAATAATAATAATGTATAAATTATACTATGATGATGATAATGTACATATTATATATATATATATATATATATATATATATATACAGTATATGTAATAATAATAATAATAATGTACATTATATATATATACAGTATATGTAATAATAATAATGTACATTATATATATACAGTATATGTAATAATAATAATGTACATATTATATATACAGTATTTTTTAATAATAATAATAATGTACATTATATATATACAGTATGTGTAATAATAATAATAATGTACATATTATATACAGTATATGTAATAATAATAATGTCAATCAATATACAGTATATACAGTATATGTAATAATAATAATGTACATATTATATATACAGTATTTTTTAATAATAATAATAATAATAATAATGTACATTATATATATACAGTATATGTAATAATAATAATAATGTACATATTATATATACAGTATATGTGATAATAATAATAATGTACATATTATATATACAGTATTTTTTAATAATAATAATAATAATAATGTACATTATATATATACAGTATATGTAATAATAATAATAATGTACATATTATATATACAGTATATGTGATAATAATAATAATGTACATATTATATATACAGTATATGTAATAATATTAATATAATATATATATCAGTGAGCCCCTCCCTCCCTCCGCTCTGGCTGCGCTCTGTCTCTCTCTCTCTCTCCCTCCCCTCCCCTCCCCTCCCAGTGTTGCCGCGCTGGCCCCGCCCCCGAGCCGGCCTTCCATGAATATGAATGAGGCAGTGCGGGCGGTGATTGGCTGTGGCGGCTGTCAGTCTGTCGCCGTACATGTTGCCTGCCTGCTGAGGGCAGCGCTGTGAGTAGTTGCTGGGAGCTGTCCTGACATCCCATGTCTGATCGCGGCGGCTCCGGACCCAGCTCGCCCCGCTAGCCCCAGCTCTGCCACAGCTAGCCCAGCTCTGCCCCGCTCTATGGCTTACTCCATGCACGGCTACCAGCTCCCGGCCCGGGCTACCGTCACACCGCCCGCCATCTCCTCCATCTCCTCCATGTCCGCCGCCCGGCTCCCCGCGCTGGGATGGCTGCTGGTAACTTTCTGGGTGCAGGTAAGTCACCCCGGGATCTGACACCACCTGCACTCACCATCACTCTCAGCCATACCATCACTCTCAGCCATACCATCACTCCCAGCCTGCAACACCATCACTCCCAGCCTGCAACCCTCAGCCATACCATCACTCCCAGCCTGCAACACCATCACTCCCAGCCTGCAACCCTCAGCCATACCATCACTCTCAGCCTGCAACACCATCACTCTCAGCCACATCACCCTCAGCCATACCATCACTCCCAGCCTGCAACCCTCAGCCATACCATCACTCCCAGCCTGCAACACCATCACTCTCAGCCTGCAACACCATCACTCTCAGCCACATCACCCTCAGCCATACCATCACTCCCAGCCTGCAACACCATCACTCCCAGCCACACCATCACTCCCAGCCACACCATCACTCCCAGCCTGCAAACCTGAGCCACCTCCTCACTCTCAGCCTGCACCCCCTCAGCCATATCATCACCCTCACCATCAATCCCAGCCTGCCCTCAGCCACATCATTACTCTCAGGCATATCATCACTCTCAGCCTGCACCCCTCACCTCATCATCACTCACCCATATCACCCCCAGCCTGCACCCAGCACACTCAGGCTGCCTCCCCGAGCTGTGCATGCAGCACCCCTAACAGTATGGGGGTCCCCGGACTCCCCCAAAGCAGACCGACCTACCGTGAATCTGATTATATAACCTAAGCTCTCATTCTGGCTTTATCCCCCCCCATAATATATACCTGTATAATGATATTAAATGGGAATTATACTACTAATAATAATCTGTATAGAGCCATTCCACCTCTCTATCCATGCATGGTGCATTGTCTGCATATTGTGCGTGCCTCTGTATAGCGGCCCCCCCCCAGCCTTGGGAAGCACACCCAGGGGGAGGCAGGGGATGGGAGCTGCACCCAATAGCTGGGAATGGGGGTCTTGTTTGTTAAATGGGGGGCCAGCAATGCATGTGCTGGGTGGTCCTTTCTCTGGCAATGGGGGGCAGCAATGCATGGGCTGGGTGGTCCTTTCTCTGGCAATGGGGGGCAGCAATGATTGGGGGGGAAGCAATGCATGGGCTGGGGAGGCTTGGTAATGGTGGTGCAGCAATGTATGCACTTGGGGGGACCCTGTCTCTGTGAATTGGGGAGTAAGCAATGCATAGGCTGGGGATACTTGGTATGGAGGTAAGCAATGCATGGGCTTGGGGCTCCTGTCTCTGGGAAGGGTTGGGGGGGTGGGCAGCATTGTATGATGGTGGGGGGTCATTAATGCATTCACTGGGGGTCCTGGGTATGCAGGGGCAGCAATGCATGGGTGGAGTTTGTCTCTATGGGTATGGGGGAAGCAATGTACGGGCTTTGGGTCCTCTCTCTGAGTATAGGGTGCAGCAATGCATTGGCCGGGAGTCCTGTCTGTGGGCAGCAATGTATAGGCATAAGAGGTGTTGATTTTCCTGTCCCCCAGGCCTCCCAATCTCTGTTTATGGGAGATGTTTGATTTTTCTGTACCCCGTTCCCCCCCCAGTCATGCCTACCGTTTGATGTGCTATTTTTAGGTATCCCATTCCACGGGTTATTTCGAGCTGCAGCTCAAGTCGCTGAAGAATGTGAACGGCGAACTGGCGAGTGGGGATTGTTGCGACGACCTGAAGAGCGCCTACAACCAGGATTGCAGCAAGGACCAGTGTGACACCTACCTGAGGGTCTGCCTCAAGGAGTTCCAGGCCAAGATCACCCAAACGGGTCCCTGCAACTACGGCTCCGGATCTACCTCGGTGCTCGGTGGGAATACTTTTTATTTGAACAACAAATATAACAATAATTACCCGGGAAAAACCAGCCCTGGCGACAGTGGCCGGATCATCATCCCTTTCCAGTTTGCCTGGCCGGTAGGTCTCGCTCTATTATAAAGTACATTATTGAATTTTATTATATTTATTAGATCGCCTGTGTTTTATGCCGTCACACCTTTTCTGATCTCCCATCATCTTTACATTCTGTGTTATTGGGAGCCCCTGGGATGGGGATTTAATATTCCCTCTTGTATTTGTCCCTGAGCTGCTGATTTATGATTTAACCCCCTCCTGTTATTTCATTGCCAGAGATATACTACATGCATGGGGGTTAGGCACCCCAAAGGTTAATTAAGGCTGCGCTACCACTTGCTGTATTTTGTCGAATTGTCACTTTAATGACAGAGGTATTCTTGAAAGCCAAGTTTGATAATGTATGTTTAAAAAAAAAAAAAAAAACAGAATTAATGGAGCTTTGTTTGGTACAATATCATGCAGCCTGTGTTTTGCAATCTCCTTGTTTGAATTATTAAGTGGGTTTTCCAGTTTGGTTTTCTTGCTGTGTATAGATTATAAATTAGCAGTTGGGTTAAACTGCCTTGCAGCCAGCATTGTCTTGCTTAGGAAGGTGTATATTATTTACCTGACTTTGCGTGGTTACCAGCACCTGAGCGTCTCCTTGTAACCGTGGTTTGCAGATTACAATTTGTAAAGGGTGCAGCTCTGAATGGCTATAGTGACACTGCCTAAGATTACTACCCTGTGACACCTGCCTTGCCTCTTACACTGAATTATTATTTATTTTTTTTAATGCAAATAAAAATAATTCAATTCTGTTTTTACAAATAAGTAATGTTTGCTGTTGTAAGCGATTTTGGTGGAGCATTTGCAAAGTTCTTAAGGCACTCTAAAAAAAAAAAATCTTTTAATAAATAGTATGTTGAAATAGTAAGTATTATATTTTTTTTTTTTATTATTTTTTAAATTTTTGCTGCAAAATGATTTTTAAGGAATTAATGTTGTTGTATAACAATCTTGTTTTTTTTTTTTTTTGCAAAATGATGTGTTTTTTTTCATGTTGGCAATATGTACACAGATGCAAGGCCATGTTTGTGTAGTAGATCTAGTAGACTGATATTTAGGCTCGGATGACGTTTTTAAATGTGGCGTCTGGAATTACCTGGGGACCATGACTGCTGTTTGATGAGTACAGGTGGTAGACAGCCAGTGCTTTGGGAATGGGGGCTGGCTCAGTGTTTGTCTCCTCTGGGGACTGCCTTGAAATATTGAGGGTGTGTTGCACAGTTGGCTTTGAGCCAAGGTGTGTGTGTGTGTGTGTGTGTATGTGTGTGTTGCTTTAATAATTTTATTTTTGTGGTGGTGGGGGGGGTTCTGCCCACAAACTTACTAGTGCATATGTGAACGCTGTGGTCTAATATCTCTGTTTGGTATTAAAGTCTACTGCATGGGTGGGACGTGATTAACTATCTGTGTCTCAGTGAGCATATCCCCAATATGGTTAAATTCTTGGCACACTTTTCAGTTTAAGTTGTGCTTCTAACTTTCTATTGTGGAAATCAAGAAGTCAAATATTTGTTGATTTATGCAGTTTGCTATAATAGATTCTGAGGCTACCCGATTTTATATAAGAAACTCTGAAGTTCTGCACTAAGCAAAGCTGCCGAATAATTGGCTCACATTGATAAATTGGGGGTTTTCTACAATATTATGAATTTTGTGTGTCCGAATCGGTTTATTCCCAAAATGCTAAATTGCAGTGCATAGAAAACCGAATTACAAAATATAGAATAACCAGCTAAACTGTGCTATAAGCGTTGGATAATGTACAAATGTCCTGCTATTAACTATATATTTTTAAATTTGCTGTATTTTGGTGTTCCAATAAATCCCTCTATATCATTCTGGAACTGTAAACTTTATTTTTATGTGTTTATAATTTAAAGGAACAGTATAATCTTTGTACAAACGTCATTTTAGCATGTACTTCCATGATACGCTTTGCTTTTTTGTTGATTGTTGTATAAACCATAACTTGACTGGTTTACTATCTCATTTTTATCAAATTCTTTGCATTTTGTACTGTTTCCCTTCGGTATATGTATGCATATCCTATGCCGTTCTTAAAATAGTCTATACGACATTTTACAGCATTTTATTTACTATTTTATTCATAAATGTATGTAGCAGAAAACTGTACATGACATTCCATTCCATTCCATTCCATGTGGTCATTTTCCCCATTACCGTACGTAGAATCGGCGGGTCTCCTGTTCTCCTCTGACTGTTAGAAACCCTATCCTAGTGTGAGTCTGAGGCATGTCAGTAGTACTGGCTCTGTGTGAGATTAAAGTGTATTAAACATGAGGTTTCACCAATGGCTCATGTAACAAATCTCTCCCCTTCCCCCAATCTCTTATGGCCCGGCACACACCCCTTCCTCTTTGACTGAGACAGGTGTACTGTACTTCAGATCACATGCAGCAAGTATCATTGATCTCCCCCTGCATTACAAAAATTCAGTCATCTAAATTTACTCCTCAAGTGTTGATGAAATGCCTTCATTTCGTGTAACGTTTAATCTTATGCTTCACATACGGGTTCACATTGGATTAAACTTTTTATTCTAAAAACCTAATTTATTTTATTTTTTTAATTTTTTATGAGAAATGCATGGTCACTATGTGTCTGCTGCTGCTGCAGGGCCTGTTTTAATTTTGTGCAGACTATTTCTCGAATGTATTGCAATATTTATAGATGTTTATTTTTAAGAACAGTGTGAAGTGTGCAGAGAATTCGGTATTCTCATTATAGATCATGAGTCATGAAGGTGTGCTTTGGATTATAGTCCTTGGGACCCAGTGGATAATAACATCCCTATTGGAACATTGTCATATTTTGGAAGACTGCACTACGCCTACGTTACCAAAAATGAATAAATGAGATGTAGCACTTATAACTGATCCCATAATTCCTATTCTTTAAATACTGTTCAGCCTTTTCCTGAGAATTGCTTATCAAAACACTAAACGCAAGGTTTCTGTTTTGTGTGTGTATGTATATGTGTGTGTGTATATGTGTGTATATGTATATGTGTGTGTGTGTATGTGTGTATGTATGTATGTATGTATGTATGTATGTATGTATATATATATATATATATATATATATATATATATATATATATATATATAGTGAGAGTGGACTATAATAACACTGTCTAAGCATTAAATCTTTATTGTGAGTTTCTCATTTTGTTTAACCCCTTGCACAACAATGACTGTACCATATATGATTGTAGGTTGTGTGTGGGTGTTTTTTGTTTGGTTAATTGGACACTTTTAATATTGTGTTTCTGTTCAGTAAGCACACTGGAAAGGGGCTGCAGGTTTTCAATTGATTAATCTAATAAAATGGTTTGGATCTTGGTGATCAGAGACTTGAATGATATATGATTCAATGCAATTATACTAAACATGAGAGCTACATCTGGGAAACTATAGATTAGCTGCCAGTCACCCTTGGAATATACTGTATTTGTCCTATTTAATCTCAAAGTGCAGCCTACATTAGGCCTTAACTCTATGCATGCCTTAACATACACGGGATCTATTGACTCCTTGTTAAATGTAATTAATCCAAGGGGAATGTGTGCTCTAGTTGTAGAATTACTTTGGAAAACTAAGGTTTCCTATGATCATTACTGTTGTAAGGTGGGAGGGGGGAGAATGATTGTATGGATTCTCCCCCCCCCCATATCTGGGCACTTCCAGCTGCAGAACGGTTACATTTAAAAGCATGAAAATGCAGGGCGGTATGGATGATTTTACTGTAGGGTGAGAGCCATAGGGGAAGCTTCAGAAGCATGTGTTCTGCCCCTAGGTAACAGATTGATTTATAGGCTGACGTTCCATGAGTGCAGGAGAGCAAAGGGTTTTCTTCAGAATACTATATCTGTATTGTGACCAAGTTGAATGCTTGGAATATTCTCTGTGTGTGTGTGTGTGTGTGTGTGCCTTCTCTATATTTCACTATGGGGAGGGGGTGTTTTTGATATATTATTTATTTTGTATTTATAAAGTATGTGAATGCTTAATGTTATGCAAATGTTACAATTAGTTGTGACTGAAGTCTTCACCATTTTTCTATAGTTTGTCGAGGACGGTAATTAGTGGAATGTGTTTCTTCTGCGGTTTGTGATAAAAATGACCTCTATTAAAGCTCCACTTTTAACCACTGGATTGGGGTCCAAAACTAGTTATCCATGCCATTGTAATGCTTCCAATAACTGGGAAGAGGCTTCCTATTAATCAGTAATCAGGTAACTGTCCTCAACCATTCCACAGGTGCACTGCCTCTTAGCATACCCTTCAACATTGGGAGGTGTGAGATCAGAAGCGGGGTGCAAGACTGTGACACCACTTGTGTTACCTGCGCTCAAAAGGGGTGATCCAGATTAGAATGGAGGCAGATGGCCCAAACGAGTTGACAACCTGTATACATGTACACCAGACTGGTGACAGCCTAACTGGCCCACCACACACAGGTCATCATATGCACAGATTGCTTTTAAAACTTTTTTTTTTTTTTTTTTTTTGTCTTCAGATGATCTTTGTTACAGGGGTTTTCAGCATAGCTCAAATCTGTCGGAGGTGCTTATACAGTGCTATCTGGGGACAGGTTCTTGAGACGGTCTAGTAGGAGTCCAAAACTAGAACAGCCTTATTAAACACAGGGCAGTTAGGAGCTATATGTATGAAATAGACTACTATTCTTTGAGACGAGTTTAATTGATGGTCTTTTGCAGAATTTCTTTTGTACCACTTAACGTTGTAAGAATTGCTCATGAGTTAACTCTTTAATTTAAACAAGTTAAGAATCAATTATGCCTTGGCACTAAAAAACGCTGACCTGTAGTTTACATTTGAATTAAGGAATAGTCATTACTGCCATATTCACACCAGCACTTTCCCAGAATAATCAGTTTGCTCATGACATCACTAATCTAACAGGCAAAATTAATTACAGTAATTCTCAGAACATAATGGAGGACAATTCAGATAATTCACCACATCAAAAGTCACTGTAGTAGCCTTCCTGTGGGTTAACGGGAAGTTTGCAGCCTTTCGTAGTGGTTATGGTGCCAGTAGGGTATGGGCACTCTCCCTAGGTCGGGGCTGAACAACCTTCAGATAATGGGAGGTGTACTCTTCAACACACGGATTGTGGAGGATTACCGCTGCCATAGGTTCTGTGTCACATTATCTTTATAGTAGTTTAAGGAAAAAATTCACTATTTCATGATTTGTGCATGCACCATAACCACCGCAAGCACTAAAATCATAACACTGACTGACTCCTTTATAATAGAGGGCACTCCTGGAACCATAACTACTATAGTGTTTATGGTGCTTGGAGTGTTCTGTTTAAATGTACATCATTGTACTTTTTAAACACAATCTCTTGTAATTAAAGGGTTACATCAAATCAGTGAAGTGGTCATGGTTTCTGGAGTTGGTGTGTGCAGTTTAACCCCATTCGCTGCTGGAGGTGCAACTACCATCTCCGGCAGCATCATTGGGGCATTGGCATGAACAGCAATGGGTGGCTTAAAGTGTCAGCTGACCGCTTTCAGCCTTTCACAGCGCCCCTTGCCGATATTCCATACAGCTAGAAGGAAGTGCGTAATCTCTGCCTTGGCCGGGGCTGTAGGAGACGAAGGACCTGCTTTCAGAGCTAAACTGCTTTAAAATAGGTGTAAGATGTAAGGACAGTCCCAGGGGACTGCAGGCACTATTACCAATTCAATGAGATGCAGTGGTTCTAATGCCTACAGTACCCTTAATAAGTCTGTCTTCCCTACTGTAAATCCTGGGACTTGGAAGAGAGGCTCTGATCTGTAAAGTAAATCTCACCCAGGAAGTGGCTGGTGCTTGTTAGCCAGTCCTCCTGTCCATTTGCTTACTGACACATGGAATGCTGGGAATTATTGAAGTTGCATTCCCTGCTCAGGAAGCGTCTTCACTTACATGGAAGGCCTTGAACGTGTTCCACTTGCTTTTTGTAAACTGCGCTATTTCTTGTACGAGACCCTGTGGCTAGTCATTAAGGTTGGAGCTGGAACCACCCCCCTACGTAGTACAGTTCATGAAATGAAAACTTCATTTCTCTGCTCCTACTAATTAGCAAAAAAAGGACTTTATGTACTGCCTCCATTTTGCATGTTTGTCAATGCAAATATAAAATGGAATTACAGGCTTGTACATAACTGGACACTAATTGCATTGGCAGCCCCCCTCTCCCCTGCAGTACGTTGCGCTCTCCTTGTGCAACACCAAAGCCAATATGAAATGGAGATTTTAAAATATGTCTTGTAGAGCACATTAGTATTTTAATTTGTGCTCTCTCCCCATCCCCCTTCTCTCCACCCTAAGTAATTTAGGATTTGCTTTTTATCCACGATTTAAACTGCTTGTGTCTTTAAGCATCTTCCAAAATTCTATTATGTGGTGGGGGGTGCAGAAATTCAAGGCTAAATGGCACTCACTGTCACAGTTGATTCAGAAGCTTATAGTCTGTTGCTAAGGAACCGTATAATAGTCTAAGTAACCAATTATGTGCCCTGTGGACAGAAGCTTCAGAAACTAAACACCTGTTCGAGTTTCACCTGGGATAAGATTTTTATTTTTTTTCGTCTTTCCCTTCCTTGCTTTAATATAGTCCAGTGATCCCTGACCTTTTACTATCGTTAATGTCAGTACAATCAACATGATGCAACATGTCTTTCCTATGTTTATTTATTTTATTATTTTTCTGGGAAAACCTAAATGTGGTTTTTTGGCTTACATTTTTTTTTTTTTTTTTTTTCTTCTTGCTTTCACGAAGCTGCCATCTGTGTATAAATACTGTACCTTGTAAGCTATTTTAAATCAAATATTTTCAATGTTTATTCTCCTAGAAGCATAACTGTGAGCCGAGCCATACGTGCCAATTTGTTTTCAAACATAGGAAACAATAATTACGTTTTGGTTAACTGTGTTGGATTCAAATACATTTAAAGGGCCACCATAGGTAATGCTACTGTGCTAAGAGGGGCTATTCCGAAGTTGTGAGCTGAATAATTTGTGAGTGGGCCCCATATGCAGCTCCGTTGGTATTGTGGAATCTACATTATACATTATCGATTGCATCCAACCTCAATGGCAATGATAGACTGAGAGTGACTGTAGTGTTTAAAGGGACATTACTTTTACATACAATATATCCACTTTTCTCATTCACTTAGATTGGAGATAATGCTGTCAGATATTTATAAACTTTATAGGAAAGTGCTTTTATTGGTAGGTTTCTCTCGCTGTTCCATTCTTAAAGCAGCCTGACACTTTTAGCCGTTAAGAGGACCCCCGCCCCCCCATGAGTAATATGTCCATTTGGATGGAGGTACCAGGAGAACGTGAGAAGGAAAATATACAAACTTAAAACGCTCGCCTAGTAATGCCACCCTCCAGTTTTTCAGTGCCTGGAAGATAAACCAGAAACCTCTTTGGAAGCGACCGTTCATTGTGAAAATGACAAAATGCTGTATTCAGAAGTTGTCTGAAACTATCCCTTGTGACAGAAATTGCTATATACATAAAGCAAAACTAGCCCCTCTGCCCCCCTTCATTTAAACTTGGAGATTAAAAAAAATAAATAAAATTGTTTACTTTTTTGAGCTGTGAAATATACATATTTGATAGCGGTGATTCTACATGTCTTTATGACAAAATGTACTTTTATTTATTTTTTTCACAAGGTAAAGAAATATTATGCGTCATAGGCGTTACGTCAAATCTGCATTTGCTGACTCACAAAATGAGACCAAACACTGGTATTGGTAAATAATACAAAGTGCCAACATGTTTCAGACACTAATTCGGAGACCTTAATAAAAACTGTTCATGAATTGAACCAGTGTTTTTGGAACCTGCATTACTGGGTTCTTAATATACCTGCAAAGATGCTCCTGTTGTGCTGAACGCTCCTGGAGGAAGTCTCGCACCCAGACAGACTATCTCCATTATAGATTCATATTGTTTTCATACAGATTCCATTACCACCTATACACTGATAACACCTAGATATATCTCTCCTCCCCAGACCTCTTCCCTGCCGTCCTGCAACGTGCCACTGCTTTCCTTTCTTCCATCTTTGACGGGATATCCTCCCGCTCTCTGAAACTCAATGTCTCTAAAACTGAGCTCCTTGAATTTCCTCCTCCTAATACTGATCCTCCTTTCATTCTCCCTTTACGTTGGTGGTATCCACATAAGTCCATCCTTGCAAGCGCGCTGTCTTGATTATACTTGATTCTGGCCTCACCTTCGAACCTCACATCCTGTAGGTTCCATCTAAAAAACATAGCCCGCATCCGCCCCTTTTCTTAAGCAAGATGCTACCAAGGAGCTTGTCCATGCTCTAGTAATTTCCTGAATAGATTATTGTAACCCTCTCCTAATTGGTCTTCCCAAAAGCCATATTGCCCTGCTACAGTTTGTAATGAAAGCTGCTGCCAGACTGAATTTATTTATTTTTTATTTATTTTTTTATTTTTTTTTCCTCACCCCGCTGTCAGTCCTTGCATTGGCTTCCTGTATCCCATATGAGTCCATTCAAAGTGCTAACCCATACCTATAAAGCACTGACCAATTCTAGCCCTTCTTGATCTCTCTGCTCTGCCCATGACCACCTCCTGTCCACTGCTCGCACCCATACGGCCAACTCACGCTTGCAAGACTTCTCGCAGGCGGCTCCCTTCTAATGGAATAACTTGCCTACCGCCATCAGACTCTCCCCTAGTCACCAATCTTTTAAGAATTTCCTTAAAACCCATCTCTCTAGGAAAGCTTATGGCCTCCCAGAGTAACCTCTACCTTACAAACCTGTCTCTATACTCTCTCCTAAAGGGCAGCACTTTACTCTCTCCTCCAGCTCTGCTTCACTTCCACCTTATTTGATTGCTATTTCCTGTCCTAATGTGTTTTTATACCCTAACGTCCAATGGACTGTAAGCTCGTTTGAGCAGGGTCCTCTTCAACCTACCATTCCTGTAATTTTTCTTGTAATTGTTCTATTTATAGTTAAATCCCCCCTCTCATAATATTGTAAAGCGCTACGGAATCTGTTGGCGCTATATAAATAGTGATGATGATGATGTGGCCAATAGTTAAATGGTTTGCACCACTGTGTTCATCCAGACTTTGATATGTGGGAAAAATTCCCACTACACTCAACTTTTTAAAATGTATTTTATCAAATGTCTTCAAAGAATGGAAGTTCCTTTTTAATACCACAGGTGATATGGTACAATGCATATACACCATATGCAGACCATTAACATTAAAGGGACACACTAAGCATTCTCTTTATCTTCAAACTCTTGTATATAATTCAGCTTTTTGGAATAAATCAATTAACGCTGCTATAAACACACACGTACACAAGCTCAGTTGGGAGCTCTCCTTGGATGTAGACGATATTGGGTTTCCTATTATGAGCTATTGTAACACTGAAAGGGTGTTTAAACTTGTATTTTAAAGAAACCTTAAAGCCAATTGTTGAATAATGAGCCAAATAAAAGCTAAATGTAACACATTCAAACCATATAGCTTGTCATGGATTTTTGTTCAATAGTTACAATATTCTATTTTCATTTATTATGAATTGTCTCACATCGGACAAAGACCGGTACAGAGTGCACAAAATAATACAGCTAAGGTCAGGGTGTAAAAACCTAGAACATGGTATATGCTTATGAGGTTGCGATGTGAGAAGTCGAGTATTCAATTGTGTAGCCAACCCCAGGAGGCTCCTCAAATGGTGAGGTTAGAAATAACAAAAACATTAAGTACCACTTACAAACCATAAAGAGAAAACACAGAAGTTAATTTAATCTACAGGTCTCATTGGAGGGAGTCGAGACAAGTAGTATATTGCACAAGTCCTAGTACCAGAACCCAGGTTAACCTATGCCCTTCAGGGGCAGAGGGAAGTACTACAATGGTGATAGGTGCTTCAGGCACAATAGCCCAGTTTTACTAGTTGTAAAAAGCTTTGTTTTCCCATTGGGTTGGCCATCGGACCAAGACCCGCAAACGGACTGTACTCCACCTTCTCTGATGTGGGCAATAGTTGCTCTATTCGAGCCTGTTCTAGAGCGGAATTCGCAGCTAAATGCATAACGGTGGGTCTTGAGGTGAGGTGTTGCTTGGCATGGTCGAATAGCTTGTTGCATGTGGGCAGTGCCTTTTTAGCCAGAAGTCCTTCAAGATTCTGCCTAGTGGTGTCCTATAGTACCATTAGTTCAATATTCGTTCAACATCCATCATGTTAAGTGGGGGTTATTGTATATTCTGCTGAATATGTACAGCAGCACCGTGAGTTCCCATTGCAACAGGGAGGCCTCCAGGGTGTAGAATGTGATCACCCCACTGGTTCAAGGGTAGGGTCCTCCAGCCAGCAGCTACAATTCTATATGGAGGGATATCCGCTACCTCTCCTCTACACGGTGCACTATGCCTCAAAGCAAGAAGTTCTCCAGTGGAAATATCAATCTCTCTCTACTTCTCTCCCTCCCATAGTTAGCAAAACGACTTTAGCTTAATGAAGCAGTTATGGTGTATAGATTATGTCCTGCAGGTTCCCCACTCAATTCTCTGCCATTTTGTAGTTAAATCACTTTTGTTTCTGCTTATGAAACCCTAGTCCTACCTCTCCTAGCTGTGCCTGACTGCCTGGAAACAAAATGGTTCCATTTTCAATCAGATGTTATCTTAAGTTTTTCTCTCCTGCTCTGTAAATTGAACTTTAATCACACACAGGAGGCTTCTTGAAGCCTTAGATAACTATTAACTGAGCTGGGGATAAATTTTAAATTAAACAGAATTTGTAACAAATTAAGATTAAACATTAGATCTATTTACAGGAAGTGTTTTAGGAAGGCTGTGCAAGTCATATTCAGGGAGATGTAACCAGGGCTGTATAATCAAACACAATTGATTTAACTCCAAAATGGCAGAGAATGGAGCAGTGAGACTGCAGGGGCATGTTCTACATTCCAAAACTGCTTCATTAAGCTAAAGTTGTTGTTGTTGTTGTTGTTATGATTATAGAGCCCTTTTAATTGATGTACCAATACACACCTTTTATAGGTGAGAGAGTGCGTTTTGATGACTTTATTGTATTGATGTACCATTATTGCCACGAGAGACTTTATTTATTTAACCGATGTCCTCCTCTTTAAAGTTTGCAGATGACTTAATCATTTTATAATCTCTGAGCAAGGCTATAGGGAATAACCACCTTAGTGGATGTGAATTAAATTATGAAAGGAATTTAGAAGCTTGAGGGGAAATGTCAAATTGGATGTACAATAAATCACATATAGAGGATATGAAAGAGAAAGCCGACTTAAATTAAATATATTTTTTTTTCCCCACCTCATTTTATATAAAATGTAATGACCCTAAAAGTATTCTTGGAAGAAACCTTTACAATGCATGGGGTAGGGATAAGAGGGATATTTGTTGGTACATTTTAGCCATTTATTTTAGATAGAACAGGACAATAGGATTGGAGGTTTGAACCATGCTACTATTTGATTGCTTTGTACACTAACTGGCACCATATTACTACCTTCTCATAGATCGTTCTTTCTCCCCCTAATCCTTGTTTTTTTTTTTTTTTTAATACTTTGAAAGTTTTTAAGACCCCTTCTATTTCTTAAAGGACCACTCTAGGCACCCAGACCACTTCAGCTTAATGAAATGGTCTGGGTGCCTGGTCCAGCTAGGGTTAACCCATTTTTTTATTTTTTTTATAAACATAGCAGTTTCAGAGAAACTGCTATGTTTGTAAATAGGTTAATCCAGCCTCTAGTGACTGTCTCATTGACAGCCACTAGAGGCGCTTGCGTGATTCTCGCTGTAAAAATCAGTGAGAAGACGCCAGCATCGTAAATGCTTTCCTATGGACTGGCTGAATGCGCGTGCAGCTCCTGCCGTGCATGCGCATTCAGCCGGTGACGGAGGAGAGCTCCCCGCCCGGCGCTGGAGAAAGGTAAGATTTTAACCCCTTCCTCTCCCCAGAGCCCGGCGGGAGGGGGACCCTGAGGGTGGGGGCACCCTCAGGGCACTATAGTGGTCCTTTAATGTGATGCCTATGCTGTCTTCATTACTTTTTACTAGTTTTGCCGTGGTTGCGCTGATCATGTGAAATTGTCTAGGTGCGCCATTTTGTTTAAACTCCTCTTTCGCTCTTAGCTTATTTTATTTCCAGTTCTCGGCTTTGTTTTCAAGTGATATCGCTATAGTGAATCTTGTTAGCCCTTTACCTATTTTCTTTTATTATTATTATTATTATTATTATTATTATTATTATTTTTATTTTTATTTTTATGTGCCATTCTTATGTTAATAACCGGACGGTTACATGACTGTAGTGTGACCGCTATATTTGGAAGTGTAGTCTGCTGTTTAAACAGTGAAGTAACACGTTGAAAGAGGCTGTGAAATGCATTGATGTTTTTTGTTGCTTGCTTTTATATACGGTTACCAATGAAATTAGTGATTTTTATCTTTGACCTTCCTGCTTTTATCTCGACACTTGGTCTTTCATTTACTTGGTGGGGAATGTACCACCTAGGCCAGGGATAGCCAACCTTTGGCACTCCAGATGTCTTGGACTTCATCTCCATAATGCTTACAGCCATAATGCTAGCACAACATCTGGGGTGCCTATCCCTGACCTAGGCAATATGGATTGAGCAAAACTACTTTTGCTCTACAACAGTGAGTACATCATCTCCTTTCTATTCTTTATTTTTACTGTACTGTGAGCACCATATATTTTTAGCTCTGTTCTATCTATTTATACAATGGTGAGAACGTCTGCCATATATATATCCAAGGGTAGGATGCTTTTGTGTATCCAAGAGTGTGGACTATTCGATGGGAACCATACATTGAGTGCACGTGAACTGCTGTTTTTTTGAACATTGAGCATACTTTTAGTTAATGAGATGAACAAATGTTCCCAAAGTAATCTTTAAAGGGACACTATAATCACCAAAACACTTTAGCTAAATGAAGATTTAGATGACTCTCTACAGGAAGTGTTTAGAAAAGCTGAGCAAGTCACATGCAGGGAGGTGTGATCTGGCTGTATAAACAAAGTGATTTAACTATATGACAAAGAATTAAGCAGTGTGGCTGCAGGGGCATGATCTATACACCAAAACTGCTTTATTAAGCTTAATTTGTTTTGGTGACTATAATATCCATTTTAAGAATTGAAACCACTTTGATCTCCTTTAACATAACAAAAGAACATTAAAATGCTAAATTGTAGCTTGGTTGAATTTGTAATGTGCATTGCATTCACTGACGGTTGGTTTTTAAACTTCGCTTTATAGTATCTCCCTATTCTGCATCTAGTTTTTGTTCACATTTGTTAAACCATTTTCTATACCCTGTATAAATCAACTGTTGAAAGAGTGTGCTTATAGTTTATTCTCCTATAACGCCACGTACTCTAACCCTGTTGAACACTTTTCACCTCTGTACCAGTGTCACCAAATGATAATCTAAAATTTGGTAAAAGTCTGTTTCTAGAGTAGGACGTGCCAAGAATGGGGTACATTGACGTTGTGGCATGCTTATGCAATGTATGATCATATAATGTAACTAAACCCCCATTATTTTTTTTCCTAGGTGAGGGGTTTTGAAAATTGCGTTGTCGGTTCCGGCACACCACAACTGACTAGTGTTATTTTAACTATGTTTATTGGTTATGAATTATATTCTGTTACCTTATCATCACAGCAATATTGTCCCGGCTACAAATTTAAGGCTGGGCCTGTAGTTGTGAGAGGGGCTGGAATCCCCTTTAAAAGGGCTGCCAGTCCTCTCCCACTGTTGGTCTGGCAAGTCACCACTCCCTCTATTCACATCACCTTCTAAAGTGGGCCCTCTTTTATTACAGGCCTACTGCATTGTCGGTTCTGGCACACCACAACCGACTGGTGTTATTTTAACTGTCTATTGGTTATGAATTATGTTCTGTTACCTTATCATCACGGCAATATTGCCCCGAATAAATATTTTCTTGAAAAAAGTCCTTTTTTGTGGACTGAAACGTTGACAGACACAAGGTGTATTTGTTGTTTACACAATAAAAGGATTATTGCAAAAGAGTGCACGTTTCATCTACCATATAGTTTTGGCTGAAGTTTTGCATCTGGGCATTTACAGGATCCGGAGAGTGAGTGCTGGACCTTCAAATAAATATATATACATTTTTTTTTTTTAATTTTTTTTTTTTTTTCATGACCTGGATGGCAAGTTCACTTAAAAAAACCTAATGCACATAATTAAGAAAAGATATTAAAGGAGCACTATAGTGCCAGGAAAACAAACTAGTTGTTTTCCTTGCACTATAGTTATTAGGTCCACCCCCTTCAGCCACTTACCTTAATTCAGTGCTGGTGACCTTTCCTCGCCCTGCCGACGTCGGCTCAGAGTGCGCATGCGCGGCCAGAGCCGGACGCGCGTATTCACACTGCCCTTAGGAAAGCATGACTCAATGCTTTCCTATCGACGTTGGGGAGACTGCCAGTAGAGGCTGGATTAACCCTTAATGTAAACATTGGAGTTTCTGTGAAACTGCTATGTTTACATCTGAAGGGTTAAAACCTGGAGGACCTGGCATCAAGACCACTTCATTAAACTGGTCCTTTAACTTTCGTGAGGGGTTCCATCTCTGACAGCTGCCATGTAAGTGATGCTTGATTTGGAGCATGTGCAAACCCGACTCTAGAACTCTGGTTTTCCCAGCAGAACACTCTCACCTTGTCATCAAGCAGGTTGATCTTTTGTCAGCTAAGCATGTGCTTCTGCCAAAGGACGACTAAAATGGCAGAACTGAACGAGAGAATTGGTCGTTATTTTTTTTTAAAGTATCTTTTAGAATTCAGCTAGATAAATACCAACTTTAACACTGCGCAGGCCTCTTTTTTTTTTTAAATGTTTAATTCTTAAAAAAAAAATTTGTCAGTCCCCCCTCCCCCCCCTCTCCTTTTTTTTTTTATTTGTAAATTTTTTTTTATTTTTTTTTTTTACTTATTTTTTTTTTTGACTTATGGGTGAAATTTGAGGCCCCTTATGGATGTCAATATTTGTGCCACATGCAACTTCCATGTTCTTGCCAGTATTAATTACGGCCTGAGCCTAGATGACTTGACTTGTAGTAATTATCATTTACATAAGCTCTCTGAAACCATGGTATTACTCTCTGCTAGAACTGGTCTATAGAGAAACCGCCAAGCATTTGTCATTTAATCTATTCTTCTGGTTTTTTTTTTTTTTTTTTTTCTTCTCTTTGAACTAAAACTTAGTGTGAGAGAAAATCTATTATAAATATACACACACAGAGTGACATGGGATTTACTAGTTTTGTTATCAGTTTATTTTGTGATGGTTGAACTTTAGCTAATATATCGGGTGAAGTTATTTTTGAGGTCTTCTTGAATTGAATCTTTCCAAATATACATCCACGGAATGTCTTTACAGTGACGTGGGCAATTCTTGTTTAAATGGCAGGATTTAAGTGACTAAAAGGGTTTTAATCTTCCCGGTCTAAAACATTAAAGCAGATGGCGGCACGAGAGCACAAATATATATATTTATTTATTTTAATTTTTTTTTTTATTTTTTTTTAAACCAGAGAAATAATATAAATAAACACAAACGATACACAATAACATTCCCAGCATTATCACGGAGGTGAATTCGTGTGCACAAAATATCACTAACTCCCTTTGCCACCTTGTATTTTCACACTTTCATAATGCTAATCTTCCCGCGTCGTGCTCTCGTGCCGCCATCTGCTTTAATGTTTTAGATCGGGAAGATTAAAGCCCTTTTAGTCACTTAAATCCTGCCATTTAAACAAGAATTGCCCACGTATATTTATTTTTTTCCTGTAGAACATGCCAGCCATCCTGTGACTTTGAGGTGTTTCTTTTAATGTTTATTCATAGCTTTGCTTAATCCACTTGCCACAGGGTTGCTTTTTATAAAACACAAAATTCTATGTATAATCCGTGCTATCCAGATTCATAGCTATTGCATTAGAAGGTTATCCAAACTCTGACCCCCAAAATGTTGCTGAACTACAACTCTCATAATTCTTTGAAAGAAATAGCCAGAAAATCAAGGGAGTTGCAGTTAAGCAACATCTGAAGGGACAGAATTTGGAGAAGCTTGCTTGGAATACAAGGTCGTATGGCCAAAGCCGAGATTACTCTCCAACTTCGAACCATACCCATTCATTCCAGCAATAGGTTCTAACTCGCTTATGTGTGCATTTAATATTTGCCCTGTGGATAAGGTGTAACCTGGATGGTTAATGGATGTTCAGTTTTCCATTCTTTTCCAATTCATTTTCTGACTGTCATCCTTTAAAGGCCCATCATGGCAGTGTATGTAACCAGATTAAAGGACACCAGAGTCTGAACGAACATGAAACTGTTTCACACATGGTAAACCTATTTAGTTCTCAGACCTGTCTACCATAGTTCCTCTGGTGTTCTGCGAATGATGAGTAACTCCCTTAATAAATTACTGTAGATGCAAGCAGCTTGATATTTGGCCTGCTTCCATTCATATTTTTTTTTTTCCTCTTCTTTTTATTTTACCTGGACAAGCAATAACATGCATGCAAATACCATAAATGCATGTTGAAGTTTCTATCAAAGTTTATTTTTACATATATCCATTTTGTAAAAATTTATACCTTGAAATTGCAATAACAGTAGCAGTTTAGTGTAAACCGTACAAAGCATCTGAGTTGTGTTATCACAAGATAGGGTGAATGTAACCGAGCAATTCGCCACCATAACACTAGTTGAAAGAGTTGCTTGACATATCCGTCAACTCGTTGTCATGAATGATGGAACCCTGTGTAAGGGGGGAAAAAGATCTAAACCCATACACTCCTTCTCTGTATTAAAACATTAACATGTGTTTTTTAAGAATACTGTGTTTTGGTACTACGTGTTTAAACCTCAGGGTTGCAGCATTCAATTCCTGGCAGGATCTTGGTTTCTGTAGTTGATAAATTGGATGGACTTTATTGACGTGCTGTCTGCTTATTATAAAATTTGAACCCTTCTTTATTAGACTGCTAGGTTTGATGGCTGCAGCAATGTGAACACAGATCTTAAACTGCTCATGCTGCAACAGGACCTTAACTTGTTCATTAACAAATGTAAAAGCTCAACAAATTTCAGCTTTGGTGTACTATTTGTGCTTTACCGCTGAGCTTACTGGCAATCCACCCCAAATGATGGCCTAATGGGAATTTTACTTGTGGCAAACAGAAGTTTATTCATCTGGGTCAACTAATTCTCACGAAGTAAGGTAATTAAAGGAACACTCTGGGCACCATAACATTATCTAGATTAAGTAGTTATGGTACCAAGAGGTGCCTGGGTATACTCTTACCTCATTCTGGAAATGTTTAAACCCAAAGTTGCCTCCAGTGTTGATTTTGAAAACCGTTTATCTTGAGGTAAGAGTGCACGCCTCCATGCGCCAAAATATAATTAGGTTGAGTTGTTATGGTACCTACACTGTCGTTTTAAATCTCCCTTGCAAGTGCTGGGAGCTGCCATTCAAAAAATTATCTGCAGCTAATGTTCAGCAATTGCACTGGTTTATGGCATCAGTGGATACCAGCAGACAAATCCACTGCTCACACGGTTATCCATTAATAGAGTGGCTAATGCTCTCTGTACCATAGGATGCCTGTCGGCACTTGGAGATGGGTTATTGTTGGCGCATTGTTATTCCTGAGAATATTAGTAGATTCGTACTCAAGGGACTTGTTTATTTTATTGAATTTGAATATTTAAGTCTCATCAGATGGATAGCCATTCTTGTTTTAACATGTGGTCATTTTTGGTTTTGTTTGTTATCCAGCTCGTTGGTCCAGGGAGAAATCTGATTTCTATTTTAGAGCCCACTCAGAGCAATCTTTGCAGGACTGAATTCAGGAAGTACTCAAGTGGTCGTTGCTGCATTTTTCAAAGCGGCTATATGCCTTAGAACCTCTACATAAAGCTACACTGGTTCTAGCGTCACCCCAGATGCACAATTAGGTGTTTTTGGGTGCTTGTATGAATGCTGCGCTTATACCTTATTTATTTATATTTTCCCTCTATCCTCTGGTATTTACCCTTTTTCCATGTCACCTCTTTATGTCCTTAACCCTCTCTCCCTATTAATATGTTCTGACATTATTTGTGTTTATTGAAACGGGAGTGTTAACAGACATGTGAAATCACACCATGTACTATGTGACACTATTTTCGACCTATCCTCCTGTCCACAATAGGCCGGTGCCCGGCTCTGTCATCTGATGTCCGCAGGACTGTTACAGTGGGAGTGTGTTTTAAATTTGTCTGAGCAGAACTTGCTTTGAAAGGCAGAGCATTTAATCCCAAACCTGAGTGTTTCAGCCATGGAGTGTTAGACAGATCTCGTTGTGCCTTCCAGTGTGGTGGCATGTTATCTGTTCCTAATCATGACGTGAACAGGTCAGTGTGTCCATTCCTCCCTCATGTGATATCAGACTTGTTGATAACTTGTTTTGTGGATCCCTAAAGAATGGTTACAATATAAGTGTGTTTATTTTTTTTAAAAACTTTTTTTTTTCCTTCCTAAATTTTGACGTGTACCATATACCTTTCTTCTTACTCTGTAATTTTTATTTTTTTTTTATTTAATTTAATTTTATTTTTTTTAAAGGCCACTTCAAATATTTTGCCGGTAAGAAATCCCTGTAGTCTTTGAAGGGACAATCCACGCATCAACACGATTTTGATGCACTTTATAGCTTTTGGCCTCTATAAGGGGTATTTTATTTTCTTTCTCATGGTTAAGTTCTACAGCTTGCTGTTTCCTGAATAGAGGTACTTGCATCTCATAAGCCTATCATTTCTGCCCCTCTCTTGTAATCCGTGCTAATCCAATATTAGTGGTGTATGCCATAAATAAGGACAGCACAGGTCTTCTGGGAGTTGTAGTTCAGCTCGCATTCTGTTTCTGAATGTTCTAGACAGCCCTGAGCTGAATTGATCTGTGCAGAGAGGTTTGATAACTATGGGCGAGCCCAACCCCATATAAGTTATTCAATCTGTAAAACAGAGACTTTCATAACTCTGCAAAATTACTTAAACAGCTGTTACCCAATCTGAAATGTAACCTGTAGTGCTGAGTTTAAATGGAATTTTTTTTTAATAAAAAGATATAGAACTTTAACTTCACATGTAGCTGTTCTGGCTCAGACAGAGTTTGACAAGTAACTTTTATGCAACACCCACATTGCCATACAACATTTTTTATGTAGGTGCCTGGAGCATTATGGAGCAATGATATTGAATCAAACACAGGAGTGCTGTGTTGGTGTGCTTGTTTGTGTTTTTTTATTTTTGTTGTTGTTTGTTTTGGTTTTGTGTGTGTGGTTTTTTTTTTTTTTTTTTTAAATGCTTAGTTTTTTTTTTTTTTTGTCTGAAAAAAATGTTTTTCAAATGCTAACCCTTCCTCGTTACCACACACCCCCTTACTCCAGAGAAACTGATAAAGACTTCCTTATCAAATGTATGTACACAGCTCAACCACTCTAGGAGTGATCTGAACTACAAAGCAACCTGCATTAAAAGGAGAGCATACCCAGGGAGACGTATGGTGAGGATATCACTGTTTATAGTTTCTTTGACTGTCTTTCGCCAAATTGTGAGTTCAAAGCAGCTCACTCATTGCTGTTGTGGCTGAGACTGTGTGCATGCATTTGATAAGGAAGTCTTTTTCTGGCCTAAGAGGACATGGCTAAGGAGGCAGACTTATGGTGTAACATTCTGCAAAATATTTATTTTTGTGCAAAAACTATAAAGATTTTATCAAGCAAAAAATACAAAATTAGTATAAAGAGGTCAAAACCTGCTGGATCCATGAAAGTTGTATTGGTGCCTGGAGTGACCCTTTAACACAAGTTTATATGATTTTGTAATATTTTATTTAATAATGTAAATTTCAGGAGACGTGACAGATCCACTTTAACATTATCGATACTATTGGTTAAAAGAGCAGCAGAGAATTATGTTTCATGCATTGTGTTATGGATGTATAATTTGAAGGATATAATCAATACTCTCTGGATGGCTGTATTGTTTGCAAAGGCATCACTGACCATTTCATTCTCAAGGTTCCTAGGGATATCACATTTCACCTTCAATGCCTCGCAGAAAGGGCGATGGTTTTTCCTTGATATCGCACGGATTTGTGTTTGTGTTTTTGTGTTTATTTTTGTGTGTGTATACTCCAGTCAGGTAATGGAGAGCAGTGTGATGGCCCTTTTTTAGATGTCAGGTGGCCACCATGATGGCAAGCTAAAGACCCGATCCTGTTGTCTTAAAATGTAATGTGTAACAACATGAAATGATGTGACTGAGCACTTGGCATCCACTGTTTGTTTGCATTAAAAAGAGAACATAGTATTTATGCATTTAAAAAGAAATTAAAAAAAAAAAAAAATTTTGTGTGTGTGTATACACCTGTCTTTTGGGACTATTGTCAGAGCTCTTACTAGCCTACCCCTCTTTGTGTTTGCTTTCTCACTCCTAAAATATCAGTGGAGTCTGTTGCTTTCAACTATGATCCATTTTAATGGATCTGTATTAATACCCCATTGTTTGGCTTCCCATTAAATTCTAAAATTAAAAGAGGACTGTCGTAATTCTGCTTTTGTTTTTGATTGTTCTTATACAACGTTACGGTTTAGTTCGATTTGCTAGAAGTTCATAAATTAATCTGTTGTCATCCTACTGTGATGGATCTCAAGCTGTCGGTTTTCTCAGATAACATTATATTCATGTCGCTGTTATTTATTATGAAAAGAATTAAAAAAAAAAAAAATATTAAGTAGGTTTACATTTTAACTGGTTTTATATAGCGGAATAAAAAAAAAAATGCCCAGCAATCCTTATTATGAAAACAGGATATCCATTTATTGTCAAAACAACGTTTCGACTTTGTCTTTATCAAGCAATGTGATGCCTAAAGACAGTCGAAACGTTACTGTTTTTCCAGCCTCCGGGAAGGTGGAGTCCTTGCACTCTTAAGAAAAATAAAAGTGAGTGCTCCTCTCATACTATTGTCATTCATGGATTTATATAGCAGTAAAGTCATATCATTCCAGCAGGTGGTTGTGGAATGTGCATGTTTAATTGTAACCATTGAATATGTTTATATCCATAATGGTAGTTATGTTAGACAATTCAATGGTTACATTAAAAAATAATCAAAACAATTTTAAGCAAATGCACCTACTCATAAAATATTGAGGGTTTTTTTTTTTTTTTTTTTACTCTCTCTCTAAATTAGCCATCCTTCAAAAAGAACAATGCATCTGACTGAGAATCCTTCTAATAAATGTTTGGAAACCTATTAATTTATTTTTAGGAAGTGCCAAATGTATTGCTTAGAGGGAATGACTATTAAATATCATTTTGTCTAAAAATGTAATCTTAAACTGGCATAGAAGCGTAGACAGAGCCAACACCCAGTCCCTCTTTTTGTGTTTCCAGACCTATAACTATGATCTGTAATGTGAGATGGGATATTATAAATGAGACTGTGAATGGTACATTGATGGTAAACAGAGCAACGGCCGCAGTGCTTTCAGTCCCATAATTTACATTGTACTCCTGCAAATATAATCCACTCGTGTGCTGGCTTGTCTCCCAGCGCGGTACACAGCTGATGCCTCATTCTCCCGTCTAGTTTAAAGCACTCCTTACTTTGGTCAGCTGATGACTCAGGACAAGACAATATGCCACATGTGGTACTCCAGACAGTTACTGCATCCCATTTCCTCTTCCACCCTTTATCCAATTGCTAGAATCTGAGTTTTGTAGAATGCCAGAAAGAGTCAGAAAGCTTGAAACGCCTAGACGTTGTTTATATTTTTTTTTTGTGCTTGCTCTTAACTTCTTAAATTTTCTTTTCCTTCTATTTTTTTTTTCCTCACATGCGTGAATGTTGATATTTAAAAGATGTAAATAGACTTTTTTATTTTTTTAAATAATTTTTTTTTAACCCCTCAAAATGGCTGCCACAGATCTGACCTCACCCACGTTGCTTTTTCCATTTTTAGTTAAGGAACTTCATACATTAAAAAGAAAATCCAATACTGCTATAAATGCAACTTTATGAACTCCACAATAGCATAAAATGTTTTCTCCATCAAATCTTACCAGCTGATGCTTGTTTCATAGATCCTTCTTTAAGTATTTCTGATCATTCTAAAGGATATTCCATCTGAACAGATTGGACGTAAAATTTCTACTTACCCCCTAAAAATGATGCCTTTACAGCCCGTTATTTGGCTTTGGTCCATATCGGCCATTCTAGATTCCCCTCCTAGCCTTCTATGGTACAACATATACATGTAGCACTGTGCAAACACATACTGGGAGCTCTTTTCCATTCATTTGAAAGAGAAAGTAGACATTCCTCATCTGTCATTGTAAAAGTGTGAAGCTTCAGACGACTTGATTGCATATGCATTCACTTCGAATGAGGAGTTCTGCAGAGGCTTAAGGGAATTGTACTGATTTATTTATATATTTTGTATTCTCTGTAATGAGATCTTTAGACTTTTGGTGCCGCGAGTGTGACTTTTTTATTAAGGTTTTATTGCATTACATTCTTTGAACTGCCTTGGTGTAAACAGAGTTCAGAACACCGTGGAGCCTTGAGCAACGAAACGTTTAGAGACACAGTTAAGAAAAAATTTGTTTTAAGGCCATTTTGTATATTAAGTTTCAAAGATTTAGAAAAACTTGAATGTGTCAAAAAAATTTCTCTCCCTCCCCCGAATCTCTCTTCTATATTCCTAAACAAACTGAAAATCTTATTAGCAATGTATTCCTTTAATCATTGGTGTCTAGTCACTGGCACAGGGCCCAAACTCTGGTCCCCATGTTATAGCTCACCCAGTCTCCACTCCTTCAAAAAAAATCATTAAAAACCCACTTCTTCATAAAAGTGGATCAATTAAACTGTTAATAGCTCCCGACTGATTCCTCTCTTGCAACTGTCATTAGTCTAGTACTACCCTTAACTTTTGTGTCACCTTACCCCACTCCCTCTCGCATGTAAGCTCATTGAGCAGGGCCCTGAACCCCTCTGTTCCTGTGTGTCCTGCCTGTCTGGTTACAAATACACGTTTGTTCGTCCACCTGCTGTAAAGGGCTGTGAAATCTGTTGGCGCTATATAATCATTGCAAAAGGCAGATAATTTAAACATATAATAAATAGTTTCCTGTACAGGCATTGCCATCTTAAATTTAATGGACACCTGTGGTGTGTGTGTGTGTGTGTGTGTGTGTGTGTGTGTGTGTGTGTGTGTTTTATTTATATATATATATATATATATATATATATATATATATATATATATATATATATATATATATATATATATATGTCATCATATATTGGTTCTGTCTACACAACACACATATTTTAAACTGACATTAGGCAACCTGGATGGAGCATTCTGGCCACCTCACTGACAAATCTGAGGGGGCGCAGTGATTTTTTTTTTTTTTTTTTTTTTTTTTTTTAATTTATTTTATTAAATTTTTGGGTAAATAATCTTGTCGGCACAATAATAGTTACAAATAAAGATTATTTAAAAGTGGAAAACATTAAAGACCATTGCCAATCTTTCCAGGAGTGGATGTCTCAACAAATTCACCCCAAGGTCAGACCGTGCAATGCCCATAGGAATTGCAAAAAACCCAAGTTACATCTCAGACTCTACCTCAGTTAGCATGTTCTATTTTATGGCAGTGCAATCAGAAAAAGACTAAACAAGTATGGTTTGTTTGGAATGGTTTCCAGGAATAAGTCTTGTCTCTCTAAAATAAACATGGCAGCACGGCTTAGGGTTGCAAATTTACATCAGAACAAACCACAAGACATCTGGAACAATGTTATTTGGACAGATTAGACCAAAGTGGAGAAGTTTGGCCATAATGCAAAGCGCCACGTTTGGCAAAAACCAAACGCCGCATATCTGCACAAAAAACACTGTATACAAACTGTCCAGCACAGTGGTGGGGAGGTATGAGTTGGGCTTGTTTTGCAGCCACAAGATGTGGGAACATTGCAGTCATTGAGTTGACCATGAATTCCTTGGTGTACCAAAGTATTTTAGTCAAATGTGATGCCATCTCTCTGACAGCTAAAGCTTGCTGAAAATTGGGTCATGCAACAGGACAATGATCCCAAGCACACCAGCAAATCTACAACAATGGTTGTAAAAAGAAGAAAATTAAAGGACCACTCTAGGCACCCAGACCACTTCAGCTTAATGAAGTGGTCTGGGTGCCAGGTCCTTCTAGGGTTAACCCATTTTTTTATAAACATAGCAGTTTCAGAGAAACTGCTATGTTTATGAATGGGTTAAGCCTTCCCCTAATCCTCTAGTGGCTGTCTCATTGACAGCCACTAGAGGCGCTTGCGTGCTTCTCACTGTGATTTTCACAGTGAGAGCACGCAAGCGTCCATAGGAAAGCATTGTAAATGCTTTCCTATGCGACGGGCTGAATGCGCGCGCAGCTCTTGCCGCGCGTGCGCATTCAGCCCAGGAGGAGGATCGGAGGAGGAGAGCTCTCCGCCCAGCGCTGGAAAAAGGTAAGTTTTAACACCTTTCCCCTTCCAGAGCCGGGCGGGAGGGGGTCCCTGAGGGTGGGGGCACCCTCAGGGCACTATAGTGCCAGGAAAACGAGTATGTTTTCCTGGCACTATAGTGGTCCTTTAAGGTGTTGCTATGGCCCAGTCAAAGACCAGACCCGATTAAAATGTTGTGTAGGGACCTTAAGAGCACTGTGCAACAAACTCCAGGAAACCTCAATGAACTGAAACGTTTTTAAAAAAGTGGTCCAAAATACCTCCAACCATGTGAGAGACTGATGGTCCTACAGCAAACTATTACTTCAAGTTATTGCTGTTAAAGGTGATTCCACAAGCTATTGACCCTCAAGGTGTACTTGGCTTTTCACACAAGGCTTCTTCATTTTGGCTTTATTTTAGTTAAATCATGACATGGTGTAATATGTCGTGTGTTGTTCATCTGAGGTTGTGTTTACATAATTTTAAGGCCTGCTAAGGAACAGATGATTATGTACTGATATGTAAAACCATCAAATTCAAAGATGGGGCACTTTATTTTTTTGTGTGTGTGTATGTATGTATGTATGTATGTATGTATGTATGTGCCCTTTTCTTGAATACTTTTTAAATGTGACGAGGGGTCTTTTAGTGGAGAGAACAGAACATTGCTGTGCTAGAACGGCTGTCACTCTTGTTGGCTCTGGAAGTGCCATTTTTGACTCTAGGAAACTCATTTAAAATTCCAATTCAGTGAAACGATACACAAGGCAACATGTATCATTTAAATGACCATCTGTGGACTGAGCTTTGCAGCCACTTCCTGTCTTTTCCCATCAGGTATTGGTTGTGTCATATCATCAATGGAAGGTACTGTAGTCATTGGGCAGTGTGGGGAAATTCCCAATGGAACTTAAAACTCTGACTGGATAGATGAGCCTAGCAGGCTGTGGCATTAAACACCTGTGCTAGACAACCATGCTTGTACCCAAACACCATTGCAGGTTAACGACTACTAGGAATAGATAAAATAACCTTGGTAACAAATACATTTACATTATAAATGCCCTACCGCACCAAAAAGCCTGTAAAACAAAAATAAATAAATTGCCCCATGGGGTGTAACTATTGGGTTCTGGCCTTATTAAAACCTGCAAAAATAATCTTTGAAATTTAACTTAATCCAGGTCTGAGTAAAGCTCCCGGCACTGATCTTCCATGTCCTATCATGCCGGCACTCCTGCAGTCCAATCACAGGGTTCTCATACATCAACCTGCGATTGGACCGTATTGCTGACTTACTCTTGAAAGGAGGGAGGCTGGTGGGAGTGAGGGAGGAGAGAGAGCAATCATCCTCCTGCAGACGTTCTGCTGGCAAAGAAAACATTTCTACATCTGTCGGCTGTGTTCTGTGTGCGTTGACAACAGATTTCAAATATGCACAAAATTGACATTAGGAAGTCAGGAGCAGAGTTCTGGGCTGCCCAAGTCATGTGTGTTGGGGGTGCAACTAGCCCTCAGCAACACATTTGAAAATAACTCTGTATGTTCAGTGTTTTGAGCTGAAATACTGCACTTGGTTACTCCTACCACCACGACCACTTCAAATCACTGAAGTAGTCATGGTAGGTGGGGTAACCCTTTCAGTCCTTAAGCGACTAGCTGAGAACATGGACCTAAAAGTCTAGAGATGATTATAATATGTGATACGGAGGCAATAAGGTTGCATGGTGGGTTTTATTTTTTATTTTTAATAAAGGTGTTTTTACTATATCTTCATATTCAGTCTACACACAGGGTTACGAAAACCTTTGCAGAGAAAATGGTGCATTCACATGGCATCGTTGCAGTCTGTTCTAACAGCTGATCTAACCTTGTTACCTGTAATGTAGATGGGGATTGCCGATTTAAAAGCCAAAATGTTAGAACTACAAATGTGTTTTCTGATTTTATTTATTTTAAATCTAAATTTCCATTTGCCAATTTTTAACAATTTTAATTTACACCTCTGCTGTGTCTCTTGAACCTTCACTGGTTAATGATGTAAAGGCTTAGTCACAAACTATGTATTGATGATATTTATCGCAGTTATTTATTTGGCTTTACTTTAAAGCTGAACTCTCGGTTCTCTGGAAGTGACAGTAGCTCGTTCTCACACCCAGTAAATGCTAGTTCAGCAGTGGGGGCAAGTATAAAACATGCCTGTCTCTGCAGTACAGTGTCATGGCATCATAATATTGATGAACGCATCGGCGTCTGTTAACTGCCATTCAAGCATTCCTGTCCTGGTGCTGTATGTGTACATGCCACAAGAAGGGTTTAAAGGGACACAATGGTCTTAATGAAATGATTTTGAAGCATAGATGCTGCTTCTGCAGCCTAACCGAGAAATGGTCCTGTTTGCTTTTTGCAGTCCCTGTTAGACCATCGTTAGTGTTTTCTTGTCCGCTAGATTTCATTATTGTGTCTGTTTGAGGTCTAGAGTCTGCTTGCAAAGTTTAGAGAGAGAGAGAGAGAGAGAGAGAGAGAGTGTGTGTGTGTGTGTGTGTGTGTGTGTGTGTGTGTGTCCTCAATCGTTCTTTGGAAGCATCAGCATTAAAGCTTCGGTAGGAGAGTAGGTCTGCACTGAGCAGTCTGTTCCTACAGAGAGGGTAGTGGACGCATGGAATAGCCTTCCATTTGAAGTGGTAGAGGTTCGCACAGTGAAGGAGTTCAAGCATGCATGGGATAGCCGTAAGGCTATTCTAGACTTTAGCTAAGGCCTATGACTGAGAGTATTTAGGAAATTTTGCAGATTAGATGGGCCGAATGGTGCTCATCTGACATCACATTCTATGTTTCTACATTGAATTAAAGGTAAGTATACTTTTTTTTTTTTTTCAAGCTAAGTTATTAGTAGAGAATTAACAAGGACACTGAAATGTGTTTATTTTTTTTTATTTTGGTTTGCCTTACGCTGCGATTCCCAATTCCCCTAGTTTAATGATTGACACTGTGATGGATTTAACACAACCTGGTTCTGTATGTAATATGTGTACAACGTTTTATTTCTCTGAGGGGGGGGGAGGAGGAATATAATGCACTGTTGTAGCGTGGTATGAAAAGAAAACTAGGTAAACGGTTACATTCTCTCATCGCTTTTATTTAAGACCATACACAAGCTTGCTTTCTTACTTGTGTGGGAAATATTTCCAAAACGAGTGCCACATGATTACAGGCTACAATTAATCAGACCCAGTGAAAATAGAAATTGGGTCAAATGTGGCATAACTGCAAAAGGCATCCGCGTTAAGAACAAAATGTTCTTAATATCAATAGTGTTTGGGGAAATTGCAACAACCACCCCTGACATGTTAAGATACATGCGCAAGAGTTGCATAGACTTAATAATGGGACCAACTGTGCAAATCCCATTGTTTCAGAATTCTGCTAGTTCAGTTCTATAAAAATGTCAAAACCCACACTGCTGGACAGCACATTTATTTTACTGGATACTTGTAGCAAAATGGGTGACCTCTCTGCACGGAGTCCATTATCAATTGCATAATAAAAAGATTACCGTGATAAAAGATTACCTGTTTTGCTGGGAAGGAATATCTTGCAATTTTAATGGTTTGAAATGGACTTGACATTATTATCTTCATTAAAAACCAAAGAAAAGATCTGTGCTCTCTCCTAAATCCAATGGCCATTGGAGAAACTAAATGACCTCCATTTGTTTAAATATACATAGGGATTTAGGAGAGAGTGCAGGTAACTTTTTTTTAAATTTTTTTAATAATTCCCTTCATAGCTATGTGGTTTCTATGCTATGCTAAATGTTGAAACTCCATATAGATTTCCTTATTTAATACTTTACCCCAGGATACCAATGTTTCCTCTTCCCCCACCCCCCTTTTTATAAATCCTCCGCCTTTGTTTAACAGAACTATTTTGTAGAATTGTGAATGGTGGTCAGTTTGTGCTCATTTTTGTAGCAATAAATGGAAAAGCATGTACTGAGTGACAAGCAGGGAGTTTACTCTAGCGGATTAGGAATAAGGTGCATTATTTTCCGTTGCATAAAGGAAGCGGTTATTGCTTGAGCTGTATTTAAATGTAAGAGATTTAGTTACATATAGATTGCGCCGGTTTAATTTATAATCCAGCTTTAAGAAGTCTGCTCTAAAAATACGTTGGACTGATCTTTATAGAGTGGCAGATTTGTCCGACGTATTGCGGAGTATGTTCAGTAGTGTTCTTTTCTGGGCCCTGGATAGTGTGCTCCTTTTTATTATTAAATCAGATTTTGCATAATAGGATTGTCAGGTATATGTGTACATGGCTTAATATCTGAAGTGAGACAATTCCAAAGGACTCCGAATCTATGACATGAAAGCATCATTTACTTGTAAAGGTTGCCAGGAATAAGCAATGTTATCTGATACCGGTGGGATCCAGCTACACTGGAGACTGCAAGCTGTTCGTAACTAGAGCAAGGAAACTACATACCGAAAGAAATGACAAATTAACCTTGAGACCGTACTCTATTATACGGCTTTATTTATTTTATATTTTCTGTTATCCTGTTTTGCTTTTCTCTTGGGTTTTTTTTTTTTTTTTTTAAATTTAAAACCGCATTCTGCAAATGATTCTTTTAAATTATTGCGATGATAATGTTCCCTTGTTAATTTTTAATCATCTTGCTGTATACACCATGTGCTGGGCTATTACAACAATTGCCAGGGATGTTCTACGGCTTCCTATGTGTGACCAGCATTCTGTCATCGTACAATAGTGAGACTGGTGTCTCCATGTACGGCACAATTTGACCGGACATCCTGTAGCTTTGCTTCATCCTGTAACCTTGGCTGAGCAGTCAATGCATTTTGCAATTGGTGTCTTCTCTTCCCTTTCATTTTTATTATTAGTTTTTCTATTCTTTTCAGTTTTTTTGTTTCCCCCCTGTTTAAATAGCACGGCTATGTTACTGCTTTGTGAAGGTTTTATACGTGCTTCCCTTGGGACCCAATGTCTCTGATCTAAAATTAGCCAGTTGTTGTCCGTGGCCTTTACCATACCCCGGATATGTATTGTATTGGGGCTTTCCTCCCCCCAATATACGCATGAACAGTCTTACAGTGAAAACATGGCTGGAGGTCAGATTATCAGATACATGGGTACATTAATTAAAAAGATTTTGTTTTTAATGAAGTTATGGTTTTTCTTCTGATGGCCTTTGGTGGCTAACCCAGCTGGAAGAATAATTCAGGAGTCGATTACTCCATTCTGTGAATGTACATTTGTACACTGTGACTGGATAAAAAAAAAAAAAAAATTTATATATATATTTTATTTTTGGCAATGTGAGTTTTGTCTTTGTGGTGGTTTGAACTAATTCCGTTCATGCAGTCGTTTCAGAAAAAAACTATTAGGACAAACCAAAAGTGTGCAGGCACATGCGTATCTGTGTTTCCCGCAAAAACAAAAAAAAATTAAAATGTTTGCTTAAAATATTATGTATATATTTTGCAGAATACTGATTTGGTTCATTTTCGCACCATTTGGTTCTCAGATCAATCGATAAAAAGTAATCCATAGAGTGGGGAAAAACTGAGGCAGTCCCTTCTCACCTGATCTGACAAGGGTACATCCTCTAGAATGTAAGCTCATTGAGCAGGGCCCTCCACCTCTCTGTTCCTGTACGTCCAATTGTCTGGTTACAATTACATGTCTGTTAGTCCACCCATTGTACAGTGCTATGGAATGTGATGGCGTTATATAAATAAAAAAATAATCTGTGAATAAAATCGACATTTAGTGGCGGTCCACTAGCTGGAAATCTCTATCCACTTGAGCGTTGTCGGTTTTTCATTAGCTTTGCAATTCGTCTACATGTTTATAAGGATATGTGTGCAAGTTGCCTATTGCTCAAAAGTTTGACAATTCAGGATTCAAACACTAATGATTTAAGAGGGACAAATTAAAAAGAAACCACAATTCAAATATTTTGCAACCATTGAAAGGGATGCACCATTCTTAAATATCAGCTCAATATCTGTTTACTATAGAGACTTCTTCTGTACACCTGAAATGATAAGAGATTATTGAATGATTTATTTTTTGTGTGTTGGTCCTACCATCATTAGTTAGATAGATGGTTTCTATGTTTCTGCCCAGTATATAACTTAGTCTGGCTTTACATGTTGTGGCAAAACATGTTTTGAGAATGTTGACTGTACAATTTGTTTTTATAATGAACTGCAATGTTTTGAGGGACAGTTAACATATGTAATATTTTTCTTTATCAAATTGTAAGTTAAAGGATCACTATAGTGTCAGGAAAACAAACTCTTTCCTGACACTATATATAACCCTTAGGTGTGTCCCCCGCACGCTCGGTTGAAGGGGTTAAAACCCCTTCAACCACTTGCCTTTATTAAGCATCCGGTTCCCTCGGCAGCGGTGACCTCTCCTCCCCCTCCGACGTCAGCTCCCAAGTTGCCAGAGCCGTGCGTGCATTAAAAACGCCCATAGGAAAGCATTTCTGAATGCTTTCCTATGGACGTTCTGCGTGCTCAACGTGATTTCCGCATTAAGCGTCAGAGGTGCCTCTGAAACTGTTTACATCTGAAGGGTTAAAACCTGGAGGACCTGGCACCCAGACCACTTCATTGAGCTGAAGTGTTCTGGGTGACTATAGTGTCCCTTTTTAAATAAGTAAAAGTGCCCTTTCCAGCCTACTGTGGAGACTTTAAAAATGGGTTACATTTATTGCTCTAGAAATTCCGATATAACCAGTTTTACTACATATTCCGGGGGTCCCAGTTTTGGCAACTGTTTTCCACGGTGTTCGTTTTTGATAGAAACTGTTCGTTATCTTGACTCTTTTGTGTGTACTGGTCTTTAGTCGTTTGCCATGGACTTGTTGAACGTCTTGGTGAATGGGCAAGTAGTGGCAACTGTAATGGCTTAAAAAAATAACTGACTACTTTGTTTAGTTACCTTTTTGAACCCAAATATCTCCCCTCTTCTGATACTTTTTAACAGGAAGCTTTCTTTCCACGTTAAGTCAATTGTGTCCCTATTTGAATAGAATTTATTGGTTGCCTGCGTCAGCTGACACTCAATTCATTTAAAAACGTGCTCCATTATACAAATAAAAAAATAAATAAAAAATATATATTTTTTTTTTATATATATATATATATATATATATATATATATATATATATATATATATATATATATATATATATATATATATATTTTTTTTTTCAAAACAATCTCAGTATACACACAATTTTAAATAATGTAATTTTTTTTCCCCCTCCTTTTCTATGGTATTTTCTAAAACTGCTTGCAAAAGCTGCAGATCTCTAGTCTGCAGCCTTTACAAGCCCTCCCTTTCTTCCCTAGCATAGAATTTCATACCCATTACTGGCATCTAATTGTCCTGCTCACCGTTACCAGATATGATTTTTTTTTTTTTTTTTTTTCAGTATGATTCTACCTGGCCTGTTGTTGTTTTGGTCACAGTGCAGATATATATTGCCCATATTAGGTACCTTTAGTTGGAAGTATTAACTAGGTCACACAAGTTAATTTATTAATCTCCTTTACAAACAGATCCTATGCAAATAAGAACTGGCAGCTTCTTTACCTCCAGCAGTAAAAAATACGATCCCCCCTAGATCAGTACTGTAGGTAAAGGCCACGGTTGCTTTGACTTAAAAAAAACTTTTATAAATGAATTTTATTTCCCCCCCTCCCCTCCAGACAATAGTTCTTTTATAAGCACTCCCCTCCCATAATTGATACAAAAAATAAAAGGGTGTTTTTTTTTTTTTTTTTTTAATTAAAATGTACTCCCCTTGTATTTAACTCTGAATGCCTGCTGACATCTTTCGATGTCTGCTCCATTCCATCGCTTCTCGTAAAGAAGCATTGGATTGGAAATCCGTATGTGCGGGCAAACACTGGCTCCTCCAAATACTGCTTTAAGCCACATTTAGCTGCAGGACAGAATTTCACTGTGTTCTGAAAGAGGAAGCGCCTATGCTGGCTGTCAGGAGGTGTATTTAGCCCTTCAATGTGAACATTGCAGTATCTACTAAACGGTAATGTTTAAATTCTTGGGTTGAAACGGCTGCTGCACCCAGACGACTTCATTGAGATCTAGTGGTCTGGGTGCCTTTTAGCTTCCTTTTAATAAGGTGCTGTTTACATAGCTCTCTCTCCAAACTGGTCCTGACTAATTGCCATGTTGTTGATCTTGTTTTAGCACTTCTGTTATCTACTTTTATTCCGATACGGCCGTGGTGTAAAATTCATAGTAAACATGTTTTGCCTTTGTACATTGCATGTTCTCCCCTAAACTACTTTTATTAAAACCCCATTTTTATTTCCTTCTTTTTCAGAGATCATTTACACTGATATTGGAAGCTTGGGACTGGGATAATGAGACCAAACCCGGTAAGTCAACCATTTGAGACGTTACGGTGTGTTGTATTCCTTTTGGATCCTATGCATTTTTCTGCTCTTATTACGGATTTTGTAGATCGTTTTGGCACCATTTGTAATGATGGAAGTGCTGTTAGTACAAGTTAGCAAGTATATCAAACCCCTGTGCAAAGGTTATAAGACAGGTTATCATTGGGTCATCATGCCCACCTGGTAAATTAAAAAAAATAAAATACTGGACAGTTTCTTAAAGGGCTCGGAGTTTAGGTTGTCATACTTGCAGTTCATCATTTGACAGATCTTTTAGTCCGTCCGGTCTGATCACTTACCCCTGTAACATGCTAATGTGCTAAACCAGTGGTACCAATGGTGGCGAGTTCCACGCTTTCTACTTACATTATCATTAAACTGTCTCTCACTTTTTTGTAAACCATTGATCAAAGACTGCTCTGAAATCCCAGTAATATAGTGGCTTTCCTGGATCCTTTAAGGCAGCAATGTACAAGTGATTGTTTTTATTACGTGATTTTGTAGCATGTGATGTAGACTTGTTAAAGTTGGATAAGTGGGTAGCTCTGAACAGTGATTAACACATTACCATGGTCTGTCAAAATTCCATGTTTTCACATGAGTATATTCAGCAAACCAGGTTTTTTTGTTTTTTTTAATTGAAGGATACGTGATTAAATGTAGATTCTGCCTAGAGTGCAGGTCTGAGTACATTAAGTTAAGGAATAAATAGCCTCAATCTGTGAGATGTCATTCATAATGGCCTTCTTAACTAGATTAAACTGTATAAACATGTTTTAAAGTTTTTTGCTATAGCAGCGTAATATATTTTTGTTGGTGGTTTTCTGCTTGTAGCATGACTTCTGGCAACAAATTAATTCCGGCTGTATTTGATGTGGTTTTGAACTAATTGACCACCCCAGCCTTAGTGTAGAAACAAGGTTTTAAATCTGTCTTCTCTCTTCTGTGGCTGAGATTATCGGTCTTGATGAGCTCATCCAATCCAATGCTTTCCTATGGGAAAGTAGTGGGGGGAGGCTATAGTGCATGCGTGGCAAAACACTGCAATATTCAGCAGCTACTCATAGAAAGGTATTAAATCAATACATCTCTATGGGGAGCGTTAAGTGTCTCCATGCAGAGCGTGGAGACTATGAACATTAGAGCAGCACTGTAGTAGGAAGACCCTCTATTGGCTGTCTGAATGACTGCCTCAAGAGGTGAAACTAGCCAGCAATGTAAAGACTGCAGGGACATGCTGTAGACACCAGAACCACTACATTAAGCTGATCCTTTTAAGGATTACCGTGTCTATTTTAGTTTTTGTTATGGGTTATCTGTTTATAAGCTTGATTTATCCAGTGTTCCTCTGACCGGTTAGTAGAACTAAACTTAACTGACTAAAGCAACATGTAACCGAATCTTGCAATGTGGCATCGAATTTGAAGATGTATTGTAATTCTTTCTAGACATACTGCATGCAATAACGGGTGCTATCTTCAGTTATCACATAACTTTCAATTTAGCTATTGTTTATGGGACATTGATACAATTCTAGGTTTGTTGGAAATATTTACACAATAGCATTTTGCTTCTGACGTGTAAAGTGAAGAACATGAACCATAAGTTCTCTCGGATTTAGAGATTCTCAAAACTGGATATTTCATTGCGTCTTACTTGGGTCAAACTGACAGATTACCTTGACATATGTTGCCGTACGTGGCACCAACCATTCCTCCTTTTGTTCCCATGATCGTTTTGATAGTGATCGATGGAATATAATACTTGGTATTCAAACCAAACGTCAAATATGACTATCGTAACTCTAAATGCATTTCAAAGACTCCATGTCGAAATTGTGACCATTTGGAGTAGTGGTGCACTTTTCCTGAGATCTCTGTTTGACATGAGTGGAGTTTACTTCTATCTGAGAGCTGTCTACGGTTCAAAGTGCCTCTCTCAATTTCCAGCTTTTGCTTTTAATTAAATCTTTAGAAGGCAAACTGTATTCTTCATGGAAACAGGTGAACAAAACTGAGGCACCCAGGCATTTAGTTCCCCGGCAATGAAGAAAGGATGCTAAATAAAGACAAGTGGTAAAGAGAGGAGTACAATCTGTAAGTTGCACTGGGCAAAAGGAAAGGTAAACTGAAAGAAGGGGGAGGGGTGATAAATGCTTTAAACTTTAACGCTCTTGAAGACCACGAGAACAAATGTACTATTCTGCTTTCCTGTGACACATTGTCCGTGTGCCAGTTAGTTCCAGAAAGCCATCTTTATATAACTGGACTATGTTCTTTCTTATCCATCTTGATTGTATGTACACAGTAGAAGAGATTACTATGTGGATGTTTAAAGCGCACCATTTCGGCTCCACTTGTGATGCAGCTTGTTGCGTTCTGTGGGAAATCCCACACCTGCCGTTTGATCCGTCATCCTGAAATCCACGTTTTTTTTTTCTTCTTCTTACTCTGTTTCAATTTGTGTCGTCGTCGTCCCTTTATTTCTTAGTTCTTGTGTTAAATCTATCATAAAGTTTATTGGTTTTATTTATTTGTCGTTAAACTGAAGCTGATTTCTATGGTCCTACGTTGTTAAATGAACACTTAAAATGTGCTGTGCTCTTGCTTTTTTGGAGTAGTTGGTAAAAACTTTGCAAACTGTTTGACAATTTACCTGGGGTCCATCGGTCGCCATTTACCTCCTTGTAGAAACTTTCTTCAAGGAGGTAAACCCAACAGTGCAGATCTTTGGTCACTGGCTGAGAGCACTCGGTAAGTGTCTTGCGGACCCCAGACAACTTGTCAAACCACTTGCAAACCAGCAGGATGTAGTGGTTATGGTGCTTGTTGGACATTGAAAAAGCCCCTCATGACTCCTTATTTTGATCTGACAGATAAGTGTCAAGATTCACTCTCGTACATTTCAGCTTTTACTTTAGAGTATGCTTATTTTATTGGTGAGACTTTTATTTTCTCTCCCAAAAATGCTGTAGTTCAGTAAGGTGTCTGGAAAATGTTGTATCTTCAATTTGCACATTAGAATGTCACATTTTTCTGTAATTTAATTTTCACTCTTCTTAAATGTTTTCTCATTCAATTTTGTTAAAGCATCATGACTGTCAGATTTACCAGTAATGGCTAAGAGTCTCATTAAGATGAGGGACAATTACAATTTGCTAATTCATAGTATTACAGAAGAGAATCTCAGCATATAGGAGTTTGAACGTGTATATCAATAGAGCATTTAGCTGGAATGACATTTTTCTTTATATAACACTGTTTTTCATTATTTTGAATGCATTTACTAAATGAGTGGGATCAAATGTATTCACATCTACTTTAAAGGGACACTATAGGCACCCAGACCACGCCATCTCATTGATCTGCACGGTCCCCTGTCCTCTTAACCCAGCAGCTGAAAACCATTGAGGTTTCAGAGAAACTGCAATGTTAACAGTGCAGGGTTAATACTGCCTGTAGTGGCTGTCTACCAGACAACCACTAGAGGTGTTTCCTGCAGCTTCACAGGGTTGAACATTGTGAAACGACACTCTGACGTTATTCAAGATCTTGTAGAAATATCACTGTAGGGTATAGTGGGACATATAATCTGTTAGGATGAAGTGCTATCAGATATATATATATATAATTATTTTTTTTTTGTTTGTTTTACTGGATCACAAGGGCAAAATTACAGAAACCCAGAGGCCATGTATATTTTAATATTATTCTAACTTGTTTTCTCGAGATAAGTGATAAAAAAAGAAAATTAAATATACCGGTACATGGCCTCTCTAGACTTCTTACTGCCATTTTAAAATGTCAGTTTTATAAATGAAAACATTCTAAGACCGTACAAAGTTAAGGTGAGGTGAGGAGAGGCTTTCTGACTCGATATAGTTTGTGGTATGACAGCAACAGACACTGAAATATCTTGGCCAGAAAGCACGTTGCACAATGTCATTCAGCTATCTGATCAAGTAGACGTGTCTAACCGTAGGAGCAAATCAGGATTCTGTGCTCCGGGGTGACTTCCTGCCTGCCTGTCTGATGCCAATAGATGTCTTGAAGTCTAATCTAGATAGGAATAGAAAATCTTCTTGTAGCATTAATTATGTGGACGGATATGCTGCACGTCCTGAAGTCTCCACGAAGCTTCGTGTTTGTACATTCGTTGTGATTTTGTGTGTGTGTGTGTGTGTTTGGGTTTTTTTTTTCTCCTCTTCTCTGCAAATTGATGTCTGAGTGTTCAGGAATGAGATGTGTTGTCTGTATCCTGTCAACATTGTTGACTAGGAAACGTCATGTCGTCCTGTTACACTTTTTTTTTATATGAATTGTAGACGCTAAGTAGTTATGAACCCTCCAGCTAAAGATTTGCTGCTGTCAAACTCTGGGTGTGGTTATCCCTTAGCTTTATTTATTTTTTTGGGCAAATTAGTTGCTTATGGCTCAAAGCATTTTAATGATTATCCTAGACAGCAGGCGTCCATTATGGATTTGTCGGCGCATACTTGTCTCTGCGTTTTTAAAGTTACATTATTTGTTTTTGTTGGATGGGTGGGGTAGATGAATTTGCAACTGATAACACAAATTGCTGTTGCAAGATGTCATTCGGTAAGGTATATATTGTGTATCTTATTAACCACTAGCCGGTATTGTGTAAAACCTGCAGGGGTACTTACTAAAGTGAGAATTTTTAAATCTCTAAACTAGAAAACTTCTTTAAGTCGGCTATTTTGACCTTAAATTTGAAATTCGTTCTCAATTTACCGCATTCTCACAGTAGGAAATATAACCCTGTTGGTAAAGAGTTACTTTACTGGCTGTAGCTTAGTTCATTAAACAGTAATTTACCCACAATTTCCAATTTTATTTATACCACAAATGGCCCCAAAACTTTCTTTCCACCTTTATATTTTGTTTAGTACGATTTTGTTTATAAAGCTGATAGCAGCACATAATATGCACACTTGTCTGCTGCACGGTTGCTGGCTTACAGATAGGAATTACCAGAATTAAGGTGCTTATCAGCGTGCTAAGATTATGTCTGTATAGGAGCCATCACTATGACTATTGAAGCTGGAAATCAATCTAATTAGACTTATCTCATTTTTCTTTAATCTAAAAATAGATTAAATAGGGCTTGCTCATTTTACAGATCTATATGAAATACTCTGCCGTGTGTGTGAGAGCGCGCGCATGCGCACTCTGTCAACACCCCTTGGCAAAATAAAAGGCTTTATTGAAAAAAAAAAGTTTTGTGGCCTAAAAACTGAAGCCTTAATTGATTCATTGGGAAAGTTGAGTTATCAAGCAAACGCACATGCTCCTTGTTAGAGCGCTGGCCATTTAGCCCCTATTGTCAATATATCACACATACAGTGCCACATGACCTATTGAGGCATTCTTTCTGGATTGCTACACTCAACACTCACAGCCAATGATGACTGTACCCTTAGAAATGTTTTTGCAACCTTGTTGCACTATTGCTTAGATAAAACTAGAACTATGGTTAAAGGACTACTATAGTGTCACGAAAACACTTTTTTTAATTTTTTTTTAATTTATTTTTTCTAGCACTATATAATCCTTAGGCCCCCCTCCCGCTGCGCTGAAGAGGTTAAAACCAGAGCCGCGCGTGCATTAAAAACGCCCATAGGAAAGAATTTCCCAATGCTTTCCTATGGATGTTCTGCGTGCTCAATGCGATTTTCGCATTGAGTGTCGGGGAAGCTCCTCTAGCGGCTGTCAGGGAGACTGCCACTAGAGGCTGGATTAACCCTGCCATGTAAACATAGCAGTTTCTCTAAAACTACTATGTTTACATCTGAAGGGTTAAAACCTGGGGGACCTGGCACCTTGACCACTCCATTGAGCTGAAGTGGTCTGGGTGACTATAGTGTCCCTTTAACATATGCTTCTATAAACCAGATCTACCTAGTAATGTAGGATGAAACCATGCTCAAGACTTCCAACTTCAGGAAATAACTATTCTCTTTTTGTGCTGTTTAATGAAAAATGAAGGCAAAAATAAACCAGTTTGAATCAGTATTGGAGAATAGATGGCAATCAGACTATGATTCATCAAGCTGATACCCCATATATAAACAATCCTATCCTTGTTTATTCTACTGTGAAAGAAAAATAAATAAATCCACACATTGACAAACTAGTACAGACTCTAACAAAACCACTTGAAGCAAAAAAGGTAATCCTATATTAGTAGAAAACTTTGCTGGTGTAGGCAACATCTCTGTTCTGAATAGGAGATGTCTTGTACTTTGTAGTGTCCTGATAACAAGCAGGTTATTTTTGTACCCCCGTAGATGCTAGTTTTTGTTGTGGTTTTTTTGTTTTTTAAACCTGTTAACATATTCTAAACTTTATTTTAAAAAAAATATTCTATCCCCATTTTACAGCTGTCCACTGCATTTTCCAGTTCTCTATAGTGTTTAACACAGGTTCCCATAATGATCCCATATAATCTGTGTGTGTATTCGCATTGATTTTTATATAAGTTTTCATCATATAAATTAATAACCCAGATTAAACACACATACTTTATGTGCATACAACTAAAACTTTCAAAAGTGCATTTATAAATTGTTTTTTGTTTTTTTTTTTTAAATCCGATTTTTCTTTTAATCTCGCTTTTTAGTGGATTATTTGTTTGTTTGCATTTTGGGGCAAAAACACTGAGTCACTATGGGAAAGTGTCTGTATTAAAGCACAACACTTTCTGCTAAATCACCCCGATGTATTGTAGTTTGTCTAATGTTTAAACCAAGAATAATATATGCACCTGTATTTAAATTTAATAAATAAAAATTGCTACATGAAAATTGGGAAAATCCATGGTCTGAGTTTTTACACAAGAGTACAGGTTAGATCTCTCACCTTCTACTGCTCCAACTGAAAGTTTTTTGGTTTTTTTAAAATAACATATTGCAAGAATGTATTTATCTTTTGTAATAATGTTTTGATTGAAATGTCTTTTTTAGGTGATGAACTCTTGATTGATAGAGTGACTCATGCTGGAGTGATCAACCCGGATGACCAGTGGACACCCCTACCTTTAAACGGACACGTAGCCCACTTTGACCTGAAGATTCGAGTCCGATGTGATGAGAACTATTATGGCTCTATGTGTAACAAATTATGTAGACCGAGGGATGACTTTGTTGGACATTACACTTGTGATCATAATGGAAACAAGGCCTGCATGGAAGGATGGATGGGGGAAGAGTGTAAGCAAGGTACAGTGTCTGAAAACTTAAATTTTTTTTTTTTTAATTCCTTAATTTATTAAATGGGCCCTTCATCTGTCAAATGAACACTGACCTTTGTTTCCAGTAGACGGTGGCTTTGGAACTGATCAATTATAACTTTCTATTAGATCTGATACATTGTGTGGGTGACTTGGACTGTGTAGGGAGATGGACCCAAGTATTGGCCAGATGGAGGAACGGGAGCCCAGAAACCATTGCAATTCACATAATATCAGAAACATTTTCTTTTTTTTTTTTTTTTTTTAATCCATATTAAATGCTTTATAAGACTCCATTACAAAGGCCCTCTCTCTCTCTTCCCATTTGTAAAATTGTTTTTGGTTTCCTTCTGTTACAAGACAGGTTTTCAAATTGCTCTCCTGCTGTCTTTAGGGGGTTGCTCTGCTGATTAATATGTAACTTGGACAGCATCCGATGTTGGATTGTTTTTGCTGAAAGCTGTAGTATGACCAAAAGACTAACTGCCCAACCTCTCTCTCTGGAAATCCTTCTGCTCCATATTCTGGTTTCCCTTCATCCTGTTACAGTACAGCAACTATGTAACGAATACCAAAGGAAAACTGGCTTCCCCAGACCTATACATCATTTTGTCCAGGGTATATGCATTGCACAGAATTCCTAAATGACTTTCAGGAATCTCTCTTGGCTCGGAATACAGAAACTGTACGCCTGACCCAAGTGCTTTCATTTGTGAAAAAACATCAATGATGCCATGTCTGATATTTCAAAATTTTTGTTACATAAGCCTTTTCCTCCACTAATAATAGCTTTAGATGGTTTCTGGGAGTTGTAGTTCAGCTGTTAAGCTGAGAATTGAAGTACGACTCCCAAAAACCCTTTATGTGCACTGCTTATAAATAAGTGTCCCAGTAATGGGCGTTACGGGTGATGTAACCGCCAGGGTGTCCCATGTGCAGCTTTCATGTATAGCATGAATGCCCCGGTTTCCTTTTGTGCAGCACAAATCTATTCAATTCTGTGGACACCTAAAAAAATCCAGCGATAAGCAACCTGTGGAGTCTGTACGAGTAAGGGGTAGGTAACCTTTAGCGCCTCAAATGTTGTAGACTAAGTCTTCCCTGAGGCATTGCCATAGTGTAATAGCATTATGGGAGATGTAGTCCTTAAAGGACCACTATAGTGCCAGGAAAACATACTTGCCCCCCTCCTGCCGGGCTCTGAGGAGAGAAAGGGGTTAAACTTACCTCTTTCTCCAGCGCCGGGCGGGGAGCTCTCCGCCTCCGATCCTCCTCTTCGGCTGAATGCGCATTCAGCCAGTCTCATACGAAAGCATTCATAATGCTTTCCTATGGACGCTTGCGTCTTCTCACTGATTTTCACAGTGAGAAGCATGCAAACGCCTCTAGCGGCTGTCAATGGATTAACCCATTTATAAACATAGCAGTTTCTCTGAAACTGCTGTTTATTTATAAAAAAGGGGGGGTTAACCCTAGCTGGACCAGGCACCCAGACCACTTCATTAAGCTGAAGTGGTCTGGGTGCCTATAGTGGTCCTTTAACCTGCAGTGCCGAAGGTTGCTTACCCCTACATCTAACACAATGTCTAGTTAGTTAACATTTTATAGATTTAGATAATGCAGCATCTCTTTAAAGCAGAACTATTAATATGCTTATGTAACAAGTTTCATTTTATACGAGGATATAGTTTAGTAAATCCTTTAATTTTTGTATTGTCGCTTACATCACTTTCTTCTTCTTTTTTTCTTAGCTGTCTGCAAGCAAGGATGTGATTTACTGCATGGGGGATGCACTGTGCCAGGAGAATGCAAGTAAGCGCTGCCTTTATTGCGATTGTGAAAACGGCTTGATTGGATTTATAAAATCCTTTCCTTTGTAAACAATGAATGCTGCTAAAAAAACAAACCTTTAGTCCCATATATTGTGCCCAGTAAAGGCTCTTTAAAGTGGGTTGCTATCTGCTCAGGCTTTGTATTTTATTATTTTTGTGTCATGAAGACAGACTTATTCCGAGCTTTCTAACTGGGATTCTTGGAAATCTGCCATCTTTCACTTACTAGGTAAAAACAAAGGCTGCTTTGAATTCAGTGGGGGAAAATAAAAGGAAGAGGGATAGGTGTGAGTCAAGATCTTGGTGCCAATTATCTGACTTGCACTGTAAACTCCAGCTCCAGTTTAATTCAAGGTGGTCTCAGAAATTCCAAGTCTTTTCTCTTGTGAATGCAGCAAACTGTCATTTTAGAATGCAGCGAATGTCCCTTACAATATTGTATCAATCGAATTTATTAATTTGTGAGATTAGTGGGTGGTTGTGTTTTTTTTTTTGCCTGTTTGCTGTCCAGTTTTGTGGTTGGCATCATTGGTTCTGTATGAGGGGTCATTTCATGAGAAGGAGTAAGCTGTTGTGCATGCTCATTAGTTCTGTGTGTGTCTTCCTATGGAATTCCAAGCAGGTTAAATCCTGAATCCAACGGACCTCTTCTACTGTTATTTTATATCTTTTACATGGTTAAGGTCATGGTTTTCTTCACTGTGTTTGGAATTTTGTATTTTTATGTTTGTGTTTTTATTTTATTTTTTGAATATAGACACCGTCCATTTTTCTTTCCTGCAAACAGCTTTATTAAGAACTGGCTCTGAATTCTGCATTTGTCTTAAGTGATCCCATTATCAGTGGTATTTTAGCATAGACATTGGAGTGCACAGCGTGGAACACAGTTTCCATAGTCCAAACTAAAACCATAGCTTCTTCCTAATGCATAACCATGGCATTACTTATCCTAATAACTAACCACTTACCAAGACACAGCTTAGTTACCTGGCAACTCCCATTAATCCTGGACATGGTGAATAAACTGCTCTGTATTGTACTAGAAAGCCAGAATGTAACGTTGTTTTGGAAACCTCCATGCTGAATATTCTGCTTCTTGGTCTTTATGTTCAGTCCGGGATTTTATTTGATACTTTCCTCCTATAAAACACTCCGAACACAGAAATGTTTTAACTGTAGAGTAAAAAAGAAAAAAGAAAAAAAACCTGTCTGGACTCTGCATGTACCCTGAACTGCATGTACCACACACTATGCCGATTTGCATATTTTTGTGTTCTATCTGTACAGCGAATGTCTGTAAATTAGATTTACCACAAGTAAGAGTTTTATTGCCTCTTAAAATCTATGGGATTTATTTATAGTGAAATATCTTGCCCCGAACAAGGTCACTAACTTGTATTAATCTAGCTTTATTTTAGAAATTATATATAGTTCACTTGGGGAAACCGTTTAGGCCCATTTTAGAGGACTGTTTGTGTGTCTGTAGTAATAATCGTTTATGCTTTTAAGAGCCATCAACAATTTTGACCTCCATCAGTAGTTTAAAGATCCAATTTCTTATTTAAAAATGTTTTTGTCCGGATAGTTTCTTCGGTTTAACTCTTGCTGAAGCTGGTGTTCCACAACACCAACAATGATCAAAGAGTCCTTATCCCTCCTAGAGTCCTATCATGTTTGAAAAGCTACTGCTTTGACAGCAAATTTCAGCAACGGCCCTTTCATCTCCGAGATGGTGCCGAGTTCTTCCTTTTCATTGTTGCAAATACCTGATTAACATCTGACAGTCGCCGGACTAATGTGGAGATATTGACTGTTTATCTCTGCAATGTGTGTGGGAGATGTGTGGATACGTATGAATTTATATGCCAATGGCTCTGCTGGCCTAAAGTCTAGAAGTGTTGCGGTAGCTTACTTGTATCTGGTGGATATATGTATACGTTACTGTAGCTGACTTGTAAAATGTCCTATATAAAGTTGCCAATTCTTTTCAGTGTTTTTTCAACTCTGTCAGCAGATTGCCAGTAGATTGTTGTAAGGGAGTAAATCGTTGGGAGTCTGTTATACATGGAGTAAATCGTTGGTGTTTGCTATACAGGGAGTAAATCGTTGGTGTTTGCTACACAGGCAGTAAATCGTTTGTGTCTGTTATACAGGGAGAATAAGAGTGGTTACCAGATAGCTATGTATTCTACATCAATCATTCTCCGCTAATAGCACAGGTTATCCTACCCGTGGTTCACTTAAATCAGTAGTTCCTAACCCATAGGTCAAAACTATCTAGAATTCTTTATTAATTGAGACAGGAACATAGTACTTGTCTTGCTTCAGGCAATTTCAACAATAGATTATTGTAAAAGCTCAATGGAGGCCGTATTAAAATGTGTATATTGCAAAGTTACTTCTGCTATAATTTATCTGACTGTTTTTATAGAATGGGTACTGGCGAAATCGAATTGGAGAGTCAGCCAAACTAATACCATGCACGTGATCTGGGTTTATGTCAAGGGATAAAGAACAGCGAAGGTTGAGGTTCCTTACTTAAATCATGTACACATTTACAATTTTATGGTGTATTTTAGCGAAGGTTCTTGGCTCATGTGAGATGTCCTTTGTACCATGTTATCAACGTCCCTCACAATGGCGTGGCTGCGGTTTCTTGCTCAATCAGTAGAGTGGCTCTCTGTAATGTGTGCTTGGTTGGTAGGAGATAGAATAAAAATATGGTCGAAGTTCAAACTGCTTAAGAAGGAATGGACTATTGTTTGTGGTTGCTATGCTATAACCTGTGCATCCGACGTTTACTTTGTACATAATTGAAATTGCCAAACACAAACCAGCTCGGCCTGGTCTAGGTTCACAAACCCATAGGGGATAATGACTGTACAGTATTAGACTAATTGGGCTTCCTCTGAATCAGCACTCTGAGTGGGAGACCCCTTCCTGAGACAGTACAGAATGAAGATAATTTAAAAAAAAAAAAAGTGTATTTTTGTATGTCATCCTAGACGAAATGGCTAGTGAACTCTTGAATATTTACTATTTACAAACGTGAAATAATTTTATAGTGAAATAAGTGTTTGAGGTTTGTGGTTAACCGTCTGGCCTTTATCAGGCATGTTATTTACCGATATCAATCCGCTTGCAGCCTGTAGAGTAATGTTTGGAATATTGTCGCCACTGAAGACCCCTTGTAATGCATGCCTGAGTGAAAATCCTATTTCATGAAAATAATCTTAGAGGACATTAGGCAACATCTGATTTTACGTAAGGAGAATACTTAATTTACTGAACATTATAAATTGCTATATTTTATTTATTTGCTGCTCAAAATGCAATATATGGAACTAAACACTCCACATAACGGTGTTTTATTTCTTTTTTTATCTGGGGCGATGTTTTGGACTCTCTATTATTTTTTTTTTTATTTTTTTTCATGCCCTCATTCTTTTGGATTAGAATTCTTTAAGTAGTAATTTTTAAGTGTTTGTACATGCTGGTACACGTAGTTATTTAATTCATTTATTTCTTAAGAATCATGCCTCCATTTCACCATACATCTTCATTCAAGAGAAACATCCATTCGTCAAACCCACAGGTCACTAGTCTGGCTCAAACTGAGAATTTTAACATTGTGAAATTATTTTATTTTCTAAACTCTTTGACTCTGCATTTAAAAAAGCATGTGACAATTGAGGATTCACCTAAACTTGTTCTACTCTGGTTCTAAATAAGACTAAGTTGCGTGGCAGCTGTACGCCACATACGTTTCATGCGAAGAATATAGTACTAGAGTAGCACAGAGGCTCTGAGTCCAGAGTTAACCTTTTTGATATAAAAATTCTGGTTCCTGAGCCCAGTTCTATCTGACTTACCAGTGGTTGTTTCACTAACTCAAGGCTCGGTGATGTGTATTTTATTTAATTTATTTTTGTGTGTTCCTGTAACCTAAACTGTCAAGCTAAAATGTAATCGTACTCTTACTTTTTGGGGGAATGTAAAGTAAATGTTACATTTAATGGCAGAGTAACCAAACTGGAAGAATTCCTTACTTTGTGATTGTCTCTTGTTTGCCTGTTTTTGACTTTAATTCCAGACAATTCTCCCTTTAGTGATTAAAACCCGGTCCATGTTTTCAACAGAAAAGCAAAGGACAGTCTGACCTAGCACATGGCATCCCCTTAATTCGAAGTTCTTTTTCTAAAACATCGGGACCTCTAGTAATGGATTAAATGGGTATTGCCTGTCCTGGGATAAGAGTTGATAGAAATAAATTATATGGGTGTTTTTTGCTTAATCATGTTTCCAGTGTAACTAATTTTTTATTTTTTTTATTTTTTTAAATAGTATTTACCCGCATTAGGAAAGCATTTTACATAAACCAATTTTCTGCAAACTCTGAAATTTATATCTTATTTAGTTTTAAATATTTATTTATAAGTGAAGGCTGTGCCTGCCAAGAAAGCCATTTATTGAGGTCTTAAATGCTGAATAATGGGATATATATTTGTGTTTAGTATGTGCATGTTTTTGCAGAGTTTGAATACAATGGCTTTTTTAAAACTTATTTTTATAGACTAATTTAATTGCAGAAAGAATTGGCACTGCATGTAGAGTTGGTTCTCCACGGTTTATGCTTTAGGCAGGTAATGTGCTAAAATTGCAATAAATAGATGCTGAAATAAAAGGTCCTTCTTTTACTTGCAATGTCCAGATTTGCTGTCTTCAACACGACGTTTCCGACTATCGTGATTATTTCATTATTTCCAATGGCTGTAATGCTGTACGGCACAGGGTAGATTCAGCAATAGTAGCTTTGTTTATGAAAACCCATAAATGAAGATATTTAGTCAGGTAGATCTAAACTCCCAGACAGATCATATTAACAGGTATTTGCAGGTGCATTTATATTGTGACTGAAGTTATCCATCTCTAGATCTGTCATGCATCTACAGCCTAGCAAAACAAACCCCAGAGAACTTAAAATACAGCTCTATTAGTTTGTAAAGGATTTTAGTTTGTGTTTTGTTTACGCACAGGTTTTGAGGGACAGAAAGCGTGCACAATGGTACATTTCACCTTCAAGCCTGAATTGTCTCTTTAAACTGTTTGCATCTTCGTGTTCCACCTCCGCTGACACAATAACCTGTCTTGGACAGTTAACTTCTCAGTAAGAATTTGTACATGTTGCATTCCACCATTCATCTGCCATTTAACCAGATACGAGCATCTAACTTAGTAATTTTGTTTGAAAGTCCATTCATATGCTTATTGTTACAAATTCTGTTGAGCTGTGTTTTAGACATTGTGTGAACACTGTCTTTGACTGGATATTGTGTATAGTGGCCTGGTATTGATGAAACGTGCACCAGTAGAGTTCTCGAAGCTTGCCACACTCTTGCAAAGCTTTAGCGCAAAACCAATTAAGTTACTAATGATTAAATATGAAGAAACATTGTAATATATGTGATTCAATAAACATTCGCTGTGACAGTGGCTACAATCCTTCACCATCTTTTTCTGTTTTTTTTGTTCGATCAATGGCTTTCTCATGTTCTCTCAGTCTTACCCCTTTTTATTGGAAACCCTATGCCCGTTTCCGATGATTCTTTCTTTGGTAATTGTAATATCTGTATGGAATGCTGCCTGGAAGTGAATTCACGGGAAATATTGCATCATTATATGATTTCACTTCTGTTTGTATCACTTGGAAACCAACCTGGCTTTCTATGTTGGTGCCAGGAATGTGGTGCAACCATAGACGACTGTGTGAAACACTCCACCTAAGTGCAAACTGTAACATGTCATTGGTGGCTAATGCCCAGAATTGATTCTCTATTTATAGAGAATGTCTCTTACATTTATTAAAATTGTCATTTCACACATTGTGTTGCATTTATTTTATGTGGTTTTGGGTTTCTTCAATTCAAATTTAAACTTACATTTACAGTATTTGCAATTTGATTATATGGGCATGGCATGGCGATTTTGTAGATCAGCCTATATTTTTGTCTGTTTTTCTGATGCTACCTCCACCCCCCTCTCTTCTGGACTCTGGTCAGTGTTGGTCATCCCAACCCTATATCTTGGTCTCCCTTTTTCTTAAAGCTCAGGAGTTCGGTGTGGTTATGAAGCTCAGTGATACACATTTAGTTTGTAAATAAGAGTGGGATTTGGGTCCTAATGTCCTTTTCTTGAATCTCCATATTGGTGTGAAAAAGAGCTCCACAGCAATGTGTCTTTAGGGAAGACACTATAAACGCCAAAAACCTCTAGAATATAAGCTCATTGAGCCGGGCCCTCCACCTCTCTGTTCCTGTACGTCCAGTTGTCTGGTTACAATTACATGTCTGTTAGTCCACCCATTGTACAGTGCTATGGAATCTGAGGGCGCTATATAAATTATATAGTAATAAAAACAACCTACGTTTAAATTGTGGTTCTGGTGTATAGACCAATCGGATCATTCTCGATGTCTGATTAAAGTTCATTAATAAATCCGTATATACAAACTTCTAAAGTAAACACACGGTGCTGTCACATCTGATTGCAAATTAAACCATTCTTTTTCACAGAGGCTGTGTGTGTCACTGGTAGGGCTGCGTAAACAGAATCAAAAGGGATTTAAATCCGGTTAATGGCAGAGAATGGAACTAAAACTGCTTCATTAAGCTAAACTAAATCTTTCTTTTTTACGGTCTATTAATTACAATGCACATGTTTTAGAAATCAGTCTGTGTAAATAAGATACATGTGTTCTAAATTACATTTTAGTTGTATAAATTGTTATTAGTGGGCCAGTTAAATTTATCAGAACAACCCCACCACTGACCGGCCACACACCCCTAAAATAAAGTGCCCCTCTTTGTCCATTGAAATTGTTGGGAGGTGTGGGTGCTATATCTAGGTTTGTGTGAAACTAAAAAAGATCAGTGGCGTTTTGTCTGCCTCTTTCGTCCAGTGCTTCCTTCCCATGTTTTATTCAGTGTGTGTTTTTCCTGTGTTGGTGGGCCAGCTGTTCTTGGATGCGATTTAAAGAATTACCTTGTGCAGCAATGAGTCTGTCTGTCTGTCTGTCTTTGAGCCTCATCCTCTTTTTTTTTTTTTTACAAGGTCACCGTATCCTACACATAACAATTGCCTTGGTGCAGACATAGAATTTCAGAGCCTGATAAGGTTTCCTTGGCAACCCACATGCTATTTGTTTATATTTCCATGCCGCATTGACTGTATTCTGCCATTTAATGTACTTAGTCAAAAGACTTTTGTTCACAATGCTCTGATCAAGAAGTCATTTTAGGTCTTTCTCCAAAGATATTTAATGTTCTAATTTAATCTGTTACATGTTTCATTCACTGTTTTGCAGTTTTATGTAGTTAAACGTAACCATGTTTAACAAGTAGCGTGTGTGTTCGTTCAGAAACTTTCAAAATCTTGTGTTTATTTAAAGCTCTAACCAACTCTAGCCCCTCTTACATTCCTTTCCTGATTCATAGGTATGCCCCTTGTCGGTCTCTCCGCTCTGCCGGTGACCATCTCCTGTCCGCTGCTTGCACCCTTACTGCTAACTCTCGCGGGTGGCTCCCTTCTTTCGGAACAGCCTGCCTACCCCCATCAGACTCTCCCCTACTCTTCAATTGTTTAAAAAGTCCCTCATAACACATCTGTTCAGAAATGCTCATGGACTCCCAGAGTAACTTATCTATACTTGCCCAAGTCTGTCTCTTGCTCTCCTAAAAAAAAACATACTCCCCTCTCTCCTCCAGCTCTACTACTTTTCCACCTTGTTTGGTGGCGGTCACCCTTGCTGCCCTGTTGTGTATTTGTGCCCCACCTGCTCTAGACTGTAAGCTCGTTTGAGCAGGGTCCTCCTCTACCTACTGTTCCTTTGTCACTGTGTAATTGTCTCATGTATTGTAAATGTCCCCCGCTTTCATAATATTGTAAAGCACTGCGGAATATAAATACCAATAATAATAATTGGTTTGTATTGTTAGTCCAATGGAAAACGCGTACGTGTGTAGAGAAAAGAAAACAAAAAAACCTATATAAATTGTATATTTACCTCAGTCTCCCTCACCCCACACAATGAAAAATCCTAAATATAATAGGTGCCCATTATTTAAATTGTAGGCAGAAAGTCTGTCACATGGGCCGTATCACACTTGACAGCTGGAGTATTGCAGGTAGCCTTCCCTGTGTTGGTACATAATTGGAATACAGTGAATAATTTGAGAAATGAAACCAAATTATATTTATATTGACCTTGACCTGGAAACCAGTATCTCTGACATTTCCAGGTTTGCTAACGTACTCCGCACATCTCCCCTTCCCATTCACACTATGAGCAGGTCAAAGGGAATTCTAGGTCAATCCCTTTACATTTCGTATATATTTCTAAAAGAATCTAGTTGTGGTTTTAATGATTTGGAAATTACCCAGAGGAGATCTGTGAGCACTCAAATACAATTCCCTTATTTGTTTAATCGTTTAAGCTGTCCTTCCCTGACATCTGATCCAGTTTACCATCGAATTTGTGTAAATAGTTAACTTTATTTTTTACATTTCCCATACGGAAATAGACGTTCAAGCTGCTGCATCACCTGTAAAATTAGGATTGAACAGACTTCCTGTGATACAGGAAGTCTTGATTTGTTCTTCCTAGATAATGTTCGTGCAACCGGACGTAACGCGTAGTGATTCTGGGATACATAAACACTGTCTCTCTCCAAAACGGCATTTCATATCTAGCCAGCATGTGAAACCGGGCAGAAAAGAAATCTAAAATAATGGCTTTATTATTAGAATTGAAAAGGGTTTTTGAGATTCACTCACCAGAAATTAACTTTTAATCACTTAAATAAAAAAAAAATATATATTTTTTTATTGAAATTATTTCAGTTCTAGATTTCTTTTCTTGCTTTATTAAATTACTGTTGTGTTTTGCATTTGAAACATCTCTGTACTTTCTCTTTAAAATAGGATAGACACTGTACTGTTTGATTCTCGAAGCTGGGAATCCAGTTTTTAAAATCACGGCATAAATGCATAACGTTCATTGTATGGAAAAGCTTCCTAAAATAACCCTGTGAAAATTGACAAGACAGCTGTATCTGCACCCACCCCCAGGTCTTGAAATAACACTTCCATGCTCTAGAAAAACAAATTGGCTAACCTCTCATCAGCCGTTTGCCCAAAAGCATGTTCAAAAATCTATGCAAATTGCGCACGGTACAGAGTACTTTTTCTTTTTTTTCTTTTTTTAATTGTTCTTTTCCGTTACTTGCAATTGCCGATGGGGCGGACGTTTTTCATAAATAGGTCATGTTGGTTCTTTAACACCTCATGGTGTGTATATCTGGGAATGGGCTGGATATTGTCTGTGTTAGTCTCTGGTGTCGTACACGCTGAAAATGACAAAAATGCTTTGCGACTCTAGTATGTATGTGCTCTCGGTTCGACAACTCTGAATTTCTATTTAAAATCCACTTTGAATTATCACTGTTATCATGGAAGCACTCCACGTGATTGCAGTTGTAGCTTGTCATTTTGTTGTAGTTTTCATGTTTCTTCAGGAACCGAGCTATAGATTCGGCAACTGTGTCCATGGACCAATGTGAATGAGTCCGTTAAAGGAGATGGGGGACGTGCTCTGCACACACCCTGATGTTTGTTGCCATCTTGTCATTAGGGTGTTTTATTGTCGTTTGTTAAAAATTTAATTGCGTGAAGGCAGACCTGGATAGGGTGATACCTTGCAACATGTGATCTCTACAAATTATTGCGGTTTGTGTGATGATCTCATCTCGCAAACTACACTTGATTGATTCGATCTCCAAACGTATTTTAATAAACAAGGTTCTCCATATCTATGACAGAAAGTTTAAACTTTACAAAGGAATGTTTTTATACCTTCGTAGCACACTGCGGGTTACTTATTCTATGCTTAACTGACATGTATTCTTTCTCTTCCTAGGTGTCATTATGGCTGGCAAGGACAATACTGCACCAAGTGCGTTCCGTATCCTGGCTGTATACATGGCAGCTGTCGTGGGCCTTGGCAGTGTAACTGTGAGACCAACTGGGGTGGTCTGCTCTGCAACAAAGGTATATCGTCCACATCTTGCCTTTTCACTTTGTGTTTCTGCAGAGAGTAGCTTTCCTCTTGCACATCCCCGATGGCCTTCACATTCAGCAAGTGGTGGAATGCTTTGATTTCGAAGTGTGCCCCAATTCCCTTTGCTTCAGAGGCCAGGTCACGAACAAGTAACCAATATCCACTTGCATTGTGTTAAATGCAAAATGCATTGTGTTAAAGACTGCAGGCTAGGCAGGTCAAAATAGGCTATTTTTAGGGAATCCCCTGTGAGTTTGGTGCTCTTTTAGAGGGCCGTTTTAATTTAGTCTAGCAAAGTGGATCTCATGCTATCGGCATCTTTAAAGGCCTGTTGCTTTAACCTCTTTCTACACAAGTGGCGTGTAACACATTGCAGAGCAAGCCCCCAGCAGCTCGCATACGACAATGTGAAGCATTTGTCAACCTTTCTTCACTCGACTATTATCATTCGCTGTTGCTTTTTGTGCACACATGAAAAAGAACAAGGTGCCAGACCAACCCGTGATGATAACTTGAGGTCAGCATGGTGTAACCAGAGCAATTTTAAAAGCAGGAAACTAGTGCAACGCTGACAGTTGAAAGCTATTTGTGGATGGATTCACATTTCTGTTGAACTTATTTAAATGGTTTTAAACCTGTTTTAACTGCCGTCATATCTGCTCAGAAATTGTTTAGAGCAGCAGAGGGGTATGCAACATATTTATAGTGAAGCTGATTTTGTCTACGCTCCTGGTTCTACTGGGAAGCATCAGTCTGAGCTAGCTGGAAAGTTACCAGTTTTCCATGGACGCTTTAATAGATCTATGTCATGTGTGGTATCCCTAAAAAAATGCCACCGTTAAAACACAGTATAAGAAATGCGCAGTGTCATTTGAGATACCCTATGATTCAGATGCGTCACAATACCTTTAATAATAGAAGCGTTTTTAATCTCCACTTTAATTTGGGTGTACCAACACTCGTAATATTGTTGACTGACTGATATTCTGCTCTTCCCTGGGTAAGAGTGATGGGAGTTATGGTTGGTTCTTTCCAGTGTCCACATTAAGTGGTACATTTCAAAGTGCCGATCCCTGATGAACTCTTTGCCTTGTAATTTTTATTTATTTTTTTCAAATTTTGTATCCTTTTGTGTTTATTTCAAAGATCTAAACTTCTGTGGAACACATCGTCCATGTTTAAATGGTGGAACATGCATGAATGCCGAACCAGACAAATATCATTGCATTTGTCCAGAAGGCTACTTGGGAAAGAACTGTGAAATTGGTAGGTTCCTGTCTATTGCTATACCTATCTATGTATTTCTTCCATAATTGTTGTATTGCATTTTTTGCATACTTTGCACACTGTTTCTTGCCTTCAGTATCTACACAATTTGATTGACCTCTTCCTGGAGCTCAGAACGCTGTGCAAGAGAACACTTTTTGGGTGTGATGACCCGATTATCACAATGCATTTTATTTAATTTGTTTTACTACAATAGGTGTATTTTCTTTTTTTTTTTTTTTTAATCTAAAACTGATATTAAATAATATATTCATATCTCTGTAGGATGTTTATTTAAAAATATTAGGGTTGGGGTAGATGTTGATGTACAACATTAAAGGGACAATCCAGACCCCTAAATAGCTGATGCTGGTTTCCCTGTTGCAAATAAAAAAAAAAAAAAAAATTAAATTTTAATATTAAATGCAAAATTCATCTAACTTGTTTTTATTTACTTCATTTAAGCCGAGCATGCATGTGCTTCCAATCCTTGTGCTAACGATGGTGTCTGCCATGAAGTCTCCTCTGGCTTTGAGTGTCATTGTCCACCAGGTTGGACTGGACCAACTTGTGCAATTGGTAGGTTACTTTTAATTTATCTTATTTTGTTTATAGTTTCACTTCTTTATGATTATTTTCATGATGGAGTTTTAACACGTTTATACACGTTTCTTGTTCTGCAGACATTGATGAATGCGCATCTAACCCTTGTGCGCGTGGTGGGATATGTAAAGATCTTATCAATGGCTTTGAGTGCATTTGCCCCCCACAGTGGGTAGGAACCACGTGTCAGCTTGGTAAGACACAAACCCAATCCAGTCACTCTGTATTACAAATTGGTTAATGCGTTTCATAACTCTGAACACACAAGGTATTTAAAATGTTAGCTGAGATAAGTCAGGTGATCACCCGAGGGGAAACTCCTATGACTTAATTCTTTTAAACCTACAAGAGTCAAGTCTAGTCCAGTCCTAGATGCAGTTATGTATATCTTAATGGTTTTGTTTTTTCACCCTCCCTTCACCCTCTCCATAATCCATACTTGTCTGGTTATTTTTATTTTTATTTTGTTTGTTGATGTTAAAGCTGACCTATCACCATAAAATAACACTTTTAGTGACTACTGAGCCAAATTTTGTATTTATTTCGAAGGCTGTTTTACCAGCAAATATATTGATCTCGTGTAACTTCTATATGTTCTAGTCAACTGTTTGAGTGCATTGACTGTCCATTAGAGGGGCATTATGGGCTTTAAAATGATTTATTCTAATTCAACTAAGTAAATAACTTGTTTTGCCCAATACGTTCTTGTCTGTTCATCAGTCCCTTGCAAATTTTACAGCTGCACAACTGCAGTAGGGGTTGGGGAGGGTACAGTGCATTGCATCATCCTTGTACATACCTGCTCAATGCAGAGAGACTGAATGGGCTGTATTGAAGAAATTACTTCATTCAATCAAAAAGTTTAAAGGGAAACTCCAGTGCTAGGAAAACAATCTGTTTTCCTGGCACTGCAGGTCCCCTCTCCCTCCCACCACCCATCCCCCGGTAGCTGAAGGGGTGAAAACCCCTTCAGGTCACTTACCTGAGACCCCGCCGATGTCCCTCGGCGGTGGTTTCTTTTCGCCACCGCTCCTCCCAGTGATTCCGTCAGCCGGTGGGCAAGACTGATCCCGCCCGCCGGCTGAGGAAACCTACTGCGCATGCGTGGCAATGCCGCGCATGCGCATTAGAGCTCCTTATAGGAAAGCATTGAAAATGCTTTTCAATGCTTTCCTATGGGGAATTGAGCGACGCTGGAGGTTATCATACAACGTGAGGGCGTCCAGCGACGCTCTTTCCTGTGCTAGGGACACAGAAGTGCCCTCTAGTGGCTGTCTACTAGACGGCCACTAGAGGTGGAGTTAACCCTGCAAGGTAATTATTGCAGTTTATAAAAAAAAAAAAAACTGCAGTAATTACACTTGCAGGGTTAAGAGTAGTGTGAGTTGGCACCCAGACCACTCCAATGGGCAGAAGTGGTCTGGGTGCCAACAGTGTCCCTTTAATGGGATACAAAACTGTATTCCTGTCACTATAGTTTCCTCTGCCTCCCCCCGGGGTAAAAACACTTACCTGTTCTCAGCGTTGAGGAACATTGCTGATGTCTATCAACGTGTGGGCGCTAATGGGCATGCGCAGTGAGTGCCACGCACGCATTGGGCCTCCCCATAGGAAAGTATTGAATCAATGCTTTCCTACCAGGAAATGGCTAATGCTGGATGTTCTCATACATAGCATGAGGATGTCCAGTGTCAGTTACGGGACCAAAAGTCAGATAACAACATCCAGGAAGCTCCTCTAGTGGCTGTCTGGTAGACCGCCACTGGAGGCAGAGTTAGTGCTGCAATGTAAACATTGCACTTTCTCTGGAACCAAGCACCAAGTGAAATAGGGACCCTGCATCCAGACAACTTCAATGAGCTGAAGTGGTCTGGGTGCCTATAGGGTCCCTTTAAATGAAACCGCACAAATTTCTTTGCTATTTTTCTGTTTTATGGTTGGAAAGGATTACCAGGTGACTGCTAAAGGACAGAGACCGTATGATTGACAGCTGGAAGTAGTGCTCATATAGACCGCTATGGGAGCACCAGGGTCAGAAAGCGGGTTTCAGATACTAATTTAGCAAAAGCTCACAATGGGTGCTGCAAATCCTGGAGAATGCAGAAAACACAGTAACATAAAAAGGGTGTGCACGATCTATAATTTCATTTCTTTTTTCATTAATGGGATGCACTAAATAAACGGGGGTCCAATACATCGTGTCTCTTTAATGACTGCTGAGCATCTATGCCTATACTATACGGTTTTCTTATTTTAGTGTCCGTTCCTTTCTCTGGTGATAGGTCTGCTTTAACCGCTATATATTTAAATCGGTGGTGGGAACATTGTCCTGGTTTGAAGGAATACAATCTGTGAACTAATGCATTTTAAATGAAGGTCTTGTTCAGTTTGTGAGTTACTACCATTAACCTAGCATGAAACTGCAAGCGGCCAGTATGTTATATCACGGGCATGCGGGTGTGTACAGCTTGCATGGGACTCTAATGGTGATGGGGTGCTGCCATATGATCTGTTGGTGTTTTTATTTGGTGCTGGGGAAATCTTAATTTGTGTTTTTTGCTTGTTTTTGTTTTTGTGTTGGTCCTTCATATGTCTTCTTTTGTCTTGTTTCACAGATGCTAATGAGTGTGAGGGGAAACCCTGTCTTAATGCTTATTCTTGCAGAAATCTGATTGGTGGATATTACTGTGACTGCATTCCAGGATGGGCGGGACTAAATTGTCATATCAGTTAGTATTTAATGGTTTATAAAAAGATTCCAGCACTCTTATCAGAATTAGAACTACACATTGATTCAGTGGCTCTGTTGGAGAATGCCTCCTTTTTTAATGCTCTTTACAGAAGCTGCTCTGTGTTCTCTGAAGTGAATTTCCACTTTTTTTTCTTTATAAACTTTCATTTTTTTTATTTTAAACTTGCTGTAATTATTTGATAAGCATTGTTTCTATATAGATGTGTTCTCTAAGAATGTTTGTTTTATTGCAGATGTCAATGAGTGCCACGGGCAATGTCAAAATAAGGGCATATGCAAGGTGGGTCGTGTTTCCTGCTCTTATCTGTATCTTCTGAGTGTCCTGTGTATCTGTCACTTTATATTACATATAAAGACATTTAAAGATCCCCGTCTGTAAAGATTGCCATCACTGCGATCTACCAGAATTATAGCAGTTTTTATAAAATGTATGCCTCTCTGATGTGAAAAATAAATTCTACCTTTTTTCTAATCTGATCTACATCATTTGTGAATGTTACTGAATACTGGAAATATTTGATCTCGGTGATTGAAACAGGGGTGTAACATCTTTGCATTAACTTTTTAATTGACATACACAAAGAAAACGTTTATTTTTATTTTTTTGTAGCAGACCTAGTGCCCCTTGATACGAGATGGGCACAGTTTGAAGGTTACGGCTTACCAAATCATTGCATTATTCTCAATGCACTCCTATATGGATGGCTGCTGACCTATTTTTAAAGAATTTGTTCATACTTTTTAAACCTGGAACATTTCCTATAGACGAATGACTGCCATATATTTTAAAAAGCTCCACCGTCCTCCGATCACATCTTACATTCTTTAAAGAATGTTCTGGAGTTAAATGGTGGAGTGGGTTCTAGCTGATGCTGTATAGCTGAAACTAATAAAGCTGTGATTGAGTGCATGTATGAAACTGACTTGTCCAATCTTGTAAATATAAAGTTTTATAAAAATCTGCCTCCCTTAGGTAAAACAGAATGGATATCGCTGCTTCTGCCCTCGTGGATTTGTTGGAAAGAACTGTGAGAGAGAAGTGAACGAGTGTTCCAGCAATCCCTGTCTAAACGGAGGGGTCTGCATTGACGAAATCAATAGGTTCCATTGCAGTTGTCCCTCTGGATATGCTGGGGCCACGTGTGAGGTGAGTACTGGCTCTGCAGATCTTGCTTCCAGCCATGCATATCTTGTGGAAAGTCTGGTTTTGTTAGTGTGTTCGTAGGATCTGTGCTTTGGGGGTCTTGGTTTTAATCCCCTCTGTGATGTTATAAGTGGCCATATCGCTGCAGCATTGCTTGTTTGCTGGTCTGTATTGGTATATTCCAAAAACATGACTTGCTAATTCAAACATTAACTGTAGTGTTGTGAGGACCTGTATCATTTCTTCATCTTTCATTTGTTATTGGGACCTGACCATAGCACAGTGAAAACAAGACACATTCCAAAGTCCGTTCCTGTTCCATCAGTAGGATCCCAACAAAACCGTATGTTTTTTTTTTTTGTTTTGTTTTATTAGATCACACTTTTTGATGTGAATACAGAGGGTTGATAGTTTTGGATCTCTGTGTCCAGTTTTTCAGTCTTAGAAAAAGTCTTTTAAAGTTATGTCACTTGATGCCATGCACCTGAACTGGAGTTATGGTTATCATTTCAGATCATTCATAACTTTTTTTGTGAATAATCTACCACCCTCGCAGATCTTGAGATGTGAACACCCCTTCAGGGATTCATAACGGGGGGGGGGAGGGATGATATGTAATTCATTGTAACTTTGTCTGTAGCAGCTCCTCTACCGCTTTAAAGTATTTCATTTTGTTGTCGAAGATCAAGGAGTTTGCCGAAAATCCATATGAATTGAAGGAAGTTTAGACCACTTTGTCTATATCCTTACAACTAACCATTAAACTTGAACTGGGACGGGAAACTTTGCTACAAAAGGAAACAAATGAGTGCAACTGATAGGAGACATCTAAGGAAAATAAAGCTTTTCTCACAGCCTTTGTTAGACTTCAGTCTTAACATGCTTCATTGAAATGAAATCTTAGCTGATCCTGTCCTTGAGTCGTCTGACACTGCAGTCAATTTAATTTTTCTCCCCTAACCCAAAGCAACATGTTTCTTTAACTTCAATCAGAAAGTATACATGCTTCTACAAATGATAAATTCCATTCTAGAATTCTTTAAGACAGACAGAGCTGTTGCTAAGCTGCTTGCTGTACACTATGTATGTAACTTTTTTGTTTTTTTTGTGAAAGGTATTTTTAACACTCCCACAGTAAAATGCTTTCAACACTGAGATAGTACTCTTGCTGAAACCTTTTGTTGTGTTACCCTATAACATTACAGTTTAGCAAAAAAAATTAGGGGGTGATTTAAAAAAAAAAAAAAATATATATATATATATATATATATATATATATATATATATATATATATATATATATATATATATATATATATATATATATATATATTTTTTTTTTTACGCCAGGAGTTTTTCCCATGTGAATGCTGGACTATTATTCCTTTTTTATTTATCCAACGGAGACTCGCAAAGCTACAGTTGTCTACGAAATCTATTTTTATATCGAGATAATATGCACACTTAAATATAAAATAAGAATATAATCCCATTTCGATTTACCTACATACAAAATATGTCTTGATTAGGAGTCCAGTACTTTCATATCCACTACAACAAAGACAGTGAGGCCTTCTTGATATTTTGTAGAGCGTTTCCTAATTACGCTTTGCCCGGTGTCCAGTGTATATCGTATCACTATAGAAAGCACTATTCAAAACGTTTAGCCAACTATCACAGTTTTGGGCATGGAGTTGACAGTTCTCCTTAAGTAAGTGGAATGAAAGATCACAGTAATGAAAAGTTGCCAGTGTTTTATACTTTGGACAAAGTGTTTCCGAGTGAATATACATTTATACAAATGGCTATAAACTGCTCTCCAGCTATAATGAAGAGGACATTCAATGAGGCTTGAAGGAAGGAGAGATAAGGGTTCCCTACAATACGAAAAATGCTCTGCCTTGAGAGGTTCCTTTTATCAGATTCGGCAAATATCTTTACAAAAACAGTCTGGATGCTTTTTTGGCAAAGCATGATATGATGAACTATAAAAGCGAATGTGTGGATTCTGACATGGTGAAATCTGATTATTACTTTGGAGTTGAGAAATTCCCCCCTCTCCCCCACCCCAATTTTTTTTTTTTTTGGTACGATTGGAAATCACTTCGTGTTGTCCTTCTTTGATCGATAGCAAAAAACGAAAGTTCATCTTGATGGTTGAAGAGTAAAGGGCACTTCACAGGATTCCTGATGTTTATTCCTTCCCTATATTTAAGAAGTGTTTTGAGGTGTAGAAATAATTAAATAAATTCAGAAATGCACAGCATTGTGTTTATCTCTATCCAGAGTGTGCCCCAACTCTACCTCCTTGTTAAACATTCGTTATTATATATATATATATACACTTGAATGCATAAAGACACCCCCTCCCCTTACAAAAAGTATCTTTATGGTGGCAGAGCTCATCAGTAACAATGTATGTGCAGGCCAAGTTTATGGCTTTTTTTTTTTTCCCCTCTGGGTTCCCCAAGTGACCGCTTACATTTTCTTATTTTTGCAGCCTATAGAACACTATTGAGTTCCTAAGTGCACATGGTCTGGGACATGGCACTGTCATTTTTTAAAATGGTTTAGTTATTATTGAAATGCAGCCAAAACTGGTGCATTTTTAGGTTGATCTAATGGTGGTAGTCTACATGCTGGTCATTGTATATATGTGAGTTACTCTTGTGGGAGTATTTGTTTGTTATTTATTTTGTATAAAATATTTGACCTGGAAGGAGAGTTTCTCATTTTGTATAAAATACATTTACATATACAATTTATAAATAATAGGTGTAGTTGCTTTATGATTGATGGTAGATTGAATAACCTGACATGGAGTATAAAAAAACCTGCCACAGTCGGAAATCCTAAAAACATTGACATCAACGTGCCGAGCTCTTAAAGGGAAAACCTGCTATACTAACTTGTTCATTAATTAGTTCCTATATCTATCTGGGTTGGGCCACAATATTTGTAAAGCTGGTCTGTCACTGTCCGAGGTGTTTGCATATTTTACAAAGTATCACATCTTCTAGCCTCTAGCATTGCAAAGCATCATGTATTGACCTTTAAGGCTGTTCTGGGCTAAAGAATAATTAGTGAGGGTTAGGACTTTAACACTCTGGCAGCCATCTTGAAATGTACTTATCCCAAAAACAGGAGCTTATTTAAATATATTCACCTGTTTAAATAATGAAACAAAGGAATGGGTCACAAAAGTCCCAGTTTTGGATTTAGTAAGCTTTTTGGGGGGGTGGGAGGTTGCCCAACAACAGTTTGTAAAATGCTTTGTCAAATAGATCAACTTTTATTTTTTCTTTCTTTTCATTTGGCGTTAAATTAGGTGACCAGACCCAACCAGATTCCAGGGATGCGTGATATTTGAGTTGTTAACACAACCACCAAATAGTGTGAGGTAGCCACACCAAAAGGAAACTTATGTCAGACAGGGGACAAGGAAGCTCTTGTCGTTTCCTTGTTTCACAAAGATTTACACGTACAGGATATCATTGCAAACAAAGCTAGCATCTTTGGGAATAAAGGACTCTCGTTGCTTTTCGGTTGGTCTACAGATTTTAACACTGCACGCCCCTTTAACAGGAAAATTGGTGTCATTTTAAAATGTTAAATTATTTTTGCTCTGTGTTTTGACATTTCTCGACTGCATTATGTCATTTTTCTAATTACAGGAATGTACATAATTATAATGTAAAAAATGAGTGACGTGCTTCACTGCCTGGACAGGATTCACACTCTGTTTATTTTATATAGTTCCGAATGTCTTTACTTGCTGTGCGCAAGTTAACACACAGCCCTCTGACCCTTTGTCCTATGTTGGATCAAGAGTGCAAACGTTGTTGGGATTGAATAGCATTCAACCAGTTTCAAGACTGGAGATAGATCTTTGTATATTCTAAGTATTACAACAAACACAGGAACTCGAGAGAGGGAGGGGAGGTTATTAAAAAAAATATATATATATATTACACACACAGATACAAAGCATAATAACAATTGGCATTAAGTCCAGTTTTGTGTCCCTTTTTACAATGAATATTTCAGCCATACTATTGTAGCTTCTTCTTAAGGGCCAGGTTAAATTTCCGCACAGTAGAGGACATCCGTGCAGGTGGACTGCCAAAACTTGTTTTTAGAAGACTCCAGTTTATTATTAACAGTGTTGGCAGTTGGGCTGTTTTACATCAGAGAGGTGCCAAACAGAGCCCTAAACGGTGTATTTGAGCTGCTCAACTTTGAATTCTTTTGATGTTCTAGCAACCAGCTGATTGGTAGCCGTGTCTTGCCAACACGTTTGCATTTTAATCTTTTAAAATTGATTTGGTAGCCGTCACCCTGACTGCGACAGACGTTTTGTGTGTGTGTGTCCTGGAAGAAAAGGTTTTTTAGTTGGATAAGGGAAAGAGTGATATTGCACAGCTCATAAAATTAAATTATCAGCCATCTGCCTCTACTGGGTATTTTATTTTTATTAGTTTGGTTATTGTGGAATTTGCATAATCCTACTTGGTTTTGCCAAACTATGGCCTCACTTTAATGGTGTATCGGTTTCAGCTTTACAAATGATTTAATATTTGTGGATAAACTTCTAAAAAAAACTTTCTTTGAAAAGTCCTAAAAAAAAAAAAAAAGTGTAAAAATATTACAAAATGTAAAACATTTTTCACAATGTTTAATATTTTGGAAAACTAAAAATATATTAAATAGAGGCCTATGTCCCTGGTCTTCTGTTCAGTTAGAATACACCTATAATGTGTAAAGGCGTTATGCGAACGAATAACTCGTAGAATTAAAACTTGATGACGTGCCACACGGCTTTGCTGATATCCTTATACGTTGTTTTTTTTTTTTTATGTTTAAAAAAAAAAAAAAAGTTTGATTTTTATATTTATGTATTTTGTTGGGGGAGATGTATCAAAGTTTATGACTTGGTTGTGTCTGGTTTCAATAAATGCAAGGAAGACAAGTTGAAGCCCATCTATTAAGATTGACTGCCATAAAAGGATATCACTGCATACAAGTTTACATGGGTTTAACATTTGTTTAAGTTGGGCATTTTTGTCCTAATGGCTGCAGACAGACATTCAACCTGAGGCTGCAACATTTGTAAATTGCAAAGAAATGCTGAATTTCAAATGTAAAATTGTATAAATAATGTAAAGCAAATGTATGGCATTTTCAGATTGTTAGTGGGGGTTTTCCCCCCCTCTTATTTTGATTTACAAACTGTTAGATTTTTGTGAAATGCTCGTTTGTTTTTGTTTTTTGTTTTTTTTATAATAGAAACCTATGAAGTCAATAATATGTAGTGACTGCTGCCAAATATGCCTCAGGTGTTTGAACTTAGCAGTGTGCAGAGCTGTAGGACTTCCATATGATCATAGACCAACTGTGGTTCATTTGTAGTGTTTTATCTGTGTTTTGTTTAGGAGATTACGATTTTTTTAATTTTTTTTTTTTGTTTTTTTTTTTTGCAATTAGAATAAAAACACATGTTTATAGAAGTTTAATATATTTGTTATAAGGGCTGTTTAAGACCAACGGTACAGTACAAGACGACAAAACTCTTAAAATATAAATGCTCCCATCAATGTTTTAATACATTTTGGTGTGTTAATGCCTGGCCCTATTCCAGCCTCGGTATTTGCACGTAGATGAAGCCTGGACATGCTGCATATTGATTGTATGAACGTTTTTGCACACCAATGTAATCCTAAATTTGTCAATAGCTTTATCTACTTACAGTTCATATCATACACGCTGCTGCTTCTAGATTCTGTATTTTCCAGAGTGAAAATGTCCTAAATTCTACCTGTATTATGTGTTCTTATTGGATTTTCGGATTAGTCAGTGCAAATTTAGTTCACACGAGTCTGCATAGGAACAGGTTTTACTTAAAAGTCAAGAATTTAATAGAAAAACTGCAATCCTCAGAGCTGCTGGGTCACTTCAGACAAAAGTCAATTAACCCCTTAAGGACACATTACATTCACAATTCCTTTTTATTCCAGAAGTTTGGTCCTCAAGGGGTTAGAGGAGTACAGTGGGGTTGTGAAATGGTAACCATTTATTAGATGGTACTGAAAGTAAATCAAAACCAAGTGTATATTTAAAGTACTATATAAAAACCACATATAGAAAATAAATACAAAAATTCATGTTGGTGTTGAGCTCTCATTTTTGTGTCTTCCATTTTTCTACAGGTTGATATTGATTTTTGTGATCCTAACCCGTGTCAGAACAAGGCCCAATGTTATAATATTGGGGGCGATTACTACTGCGCATGCGCCGATGACTACGATGGAAAGAACTGCTCACATCTTAAGGATCATTGTAAAGACAGCTCTTGCAAAGGTGAAAGGAAAAATGCTGACTTGTAAAATACTTAATTAGGTGCAAGTTTTATGATTTATATCTGTTGGATTTTATTTTAATATGACGCCTTGTCCAGTGTCTAAGAATTCATAGCTTTAATCTACACACTGGAAACACCCATGCCCTGCATTACTGTGCAGACGCTCTTTTACGTGTGCTTGTAGTTAGTTGCTATTTCAGGCTGATGTGGAGCCCGTAGTCCTGAGTTTTGTCAGTGAACTCTTTATGCAGCTGATCGTGAGCGTCTCAGTGTCACTAATGTGTCCTCTTTTATTTTTAGTCATAGACAGCTGTACAATAGCGATTTCTTCTAATGCCACCCAGGAAGGTATCCGTTACATCTCCTCTAATGTTTGCGGGCCTCACGGACGGTGCATTAGTTTACCAGGGGGGAATTTCACCTGTTCTTGCGACAGAGGTTTCACTGGCGCATATTGCCATGAGAGTAAGTGAAGATCTTTTAAAACGCTTGTTATACGCACCCCCAACAAAAAAAATTGGGAACGGTTTCTGCCTTACAAATGCCTGCGAATTGTCTCTCTTGGGGTAAAAACTAATTTATTTATTTATTTTTTTTTTTTTTATTTGTCTTCTCTCCTAGACATAAATGACTGTCTTGGTAATCCTTGTAAAAATGGCGGGACGTGTACCGACGAAGTTGATTCTTTCAAGTGCTTTTGTCCAAATGGTTTTGGAGGAGAACTCTGTGACATAAGTAGGTTGGATCAGAAATCCTATTTTTAAAGTTCCTTAGAGGAGGGCTGGTGGAGATTAACAAAGCAGATATTTGACATTCTACCTGGATTTTGTTTCTTTGTTAATATACTTAATATTTTCTCTAGATTACAATGACTGTAATCCTAACCCATGTCAAAATGATGGAAGGTGCATCGATCTAGTGAATGATTTCGTCTGCGAATGTCAAAATGGGTGGAAAGGCAAAACTTGTCATTCACGTAAGCATATCATGTTGTGTTTGTTTCCTACGGTAGAATTAAAATACTATATTGATTGCATCTGTTAGGAATCCTAATGGTTCTTATATTCTGAACAGGCGAATACCAGTGTGATTCAAACACCTGCAGTAATGGAGGAACGTGTCAAGATGCTGGGGACACATTCCAATGTCTTTGTCCATCTGGATGGGAAGGTGCCACGTGTAATCTTGGTGAGTCCATGTTTTCTTTCTAACCACTTGCTGTTCTAGAGCAGAATAATTACTATTCTTAACGTAATAATCTAAGCAACACCGCCACTGCCACTTTCTGAAATTACGAATAAACTTTTTTAAATCCACATTTAAACTAATCGATCGCCCATGATTTACCTGTGGGGTCTTATTCACGGAATGAGACTTCACAGGTAAATCCCTGATGTTCGACCCGTTTTGGGTATAGATTAAAAGGAATTTATTCGGACGAACCATCTAAAACTAGTTTTTGCACAAGTCTTGTGGCTATTTTGCCTAGCGTGCTCAGTGCAATGCCATCAATTTAACAAAAAAAAATGTTTAAGGAATAGTTTGAAATAAATTGGAAGTCTTCTCGGCAAACTGGGACCTTCCCCACCTCAACTGCATTGATAATACTGAATTAACACTTCAACATGATGAGTGTCCATTTCATCCAACCTGGAATTACATTGATTGACTGAGAGTGTTGGGCTAACTTGACCTCAATACTCCGGCGCCGTTTAAGCTGGATTAAATTGAGAATGTGTAATTATCAATGTCCATGTGACTTAGATGGGGCAGAGCCCCTGGTTTTAAACCCAATCCAGGTTATTCACAAAGGTGAGAATTCTGAGTGATTTTCAAATTTAAGGGAAAAATAGTCGAACTGGAATAACTCTCTAAATCAACTATGCTTTCAAGTTTGACTAATCTGGCCTTAAATTTGAAATTCACTTTGTATTCACTTCGAATAATCACTTGGGTAAATAACCCTGAATCCGTCTGTCCTACCCCACCCCCTTTCTGGCTGCCTTATGTGTTTCAGGTGTTTGGGTAGTTGTACTATTAGCATGACAAATAAAATCTTTTCTCCCTCTGTGGTTCTTGCCAAACCTTGGTAGCACAAAATGTTTTTTGTTTATTTTGAGCCAAATTATAGTATTTTTCATAGAAAATATTACCTGACTTGAAATCTCATTTCTAACCTTACTTAAAATCCGTTTTGATTTCTTGTGAACAGCAAAAAACAGCAGCTGTCTTCCCAACCCCTGTGCGAACGGCGGGACCTGTGTGGGCACTGCGGATTCCTTTTCCTGCATGTGTAAAGAAGGTTGGGAGGGCCGGACCTGCACGCAGAGTAAGCCTTCACTCATTTTATTTCTCTATATATATATTTTTATTCCTTTAGGATATTGGGTGTGGCCCATAGCATGTTCTATCCTTTAATTTATTTGCCAACATATTTGACTCATTTGGGATGGGAGGTAGCTGAAGGGCACAGAAAAGCCTGTGTTTAATGAATTTAAATTACATTTTATAGATGTTTGTGTGTGCCTAAGGCTTTGCTGCACAAACAGGAGCTTCTTCATTGTGTTCTTTCTTTAACTGTTCCCGTGCTGGAGGTACGCGCCATGTGTACAATTAAAAATCACGCATGAATTTGAATGTCTAAACACACTGAGAAATCTTTCTATATAAAAGTTTCTTCCAAATAGACAATCGCCCACAGGGATCCAAATGTAAGAGTCCTATGCTACTAGCCAGGCCTAATAGTTACTAGCCACAGCGTACCTGGAGGTTCCGTGGCACACTCACTAGGGGTGATTTCTTCTTCCCAGGGTTGAATGTTCATTCACCGGTGGCTGGCTAGTGAGTGGAAATTTCGAGCCCTGCAATATACCATCTTTGTTTCTGGTTCCCTATTTAATGCATTTTAGTCATTTTTGGGGATTCCATGTGCACAGATTGTCACCTTTGTGAACAATGAACTCTCTAAATCTAGTCGTTTCAAGACATTTAATCTGTTCCCATAACACTGCACCATTGGTTTGTAATGCGTATCTTTTCCCATGGGTTCAAGTAATGTTCATGCTGTTAGCTTTGTGACTCATTCCAGAATTATAAACTTAATTCTGTGACCAATTCTGCACTTATAATTACTCCTCCTGATAAAGCTGCCTCTAGCGCTGCCCCAGGAAAAGACATGTAGGACCATGTCTCTGATCGTTGCTCAGTTCTGTTTTGAGCGAGTGTGATACAATGTCCTGTCATCGCATCATTTAACTTCATGGTTTAGTCTTTTCTAGGGTTATAATTCAGTAAAAGCAAACGTGTTTTGGGTATATGATAACCTGAGATGGTTAAAGATACCAGCCATTGGCCCCTGAAATACAATGTACCTTGCTAAAGCTTGTCAAATCTTACATTTTTAATTTGCCATAAAATAGTGAAATATATGAAATTATGCACTGTATGAACTAATAATTGTTAAAATAAGAATGTTTCTATAGACTTTATTGGGTGGGAGGATTTTATACTATTTAACGTTTTTGCATGAACTATTGATATTCTCATACACTAATTCATTTTTTTTTTTTTTTTTTCACCTATTTTATAGATACAAATGACTGCAATCCTTATCCTTGGTAAGTGTTTAAAAAACAATCTTGGGGAAACAGTTATGGGGCTTAGAGTATTTATATAAATGTGTATTACATGTTTAGTGATCTAAGGTGTCTCGGTGTGTAAAACTGGACTTGTGTGTGGGTATTGCCAAAATAGTCTGTAGAGTCCAGTAAGAACGTTAATGTCTCCTCTCCTGCTCCAGCTATATTTAAACTATGATCTTTGTGTTTTCACAGCTACAATGGTGGCATTTGTGTCGATGGAGTGAATTGGTTTCGTTGTGAATGTGCACCGGGATTCGCTGGGCCTGACTGCAGAATTAGTGAGTACTTGTCTATTTCTTGTGGGAGGTTGGATTTTGTCTGTGTTGTGTTTGCCTGTTCTAAGGTCCTTCATACAGCCCCCAACAGAACGATCTCTCTTAATGAAATCGCTAAACCACAGATTAACGCACATGTGCTAAAGGAGAAATAACATGGCTCTCAGGCCTGTAGTCCATAACGAGAGGTTTTAAGAATTGTGGGAAAAAAAATATTAATTGTAAAGAGGTGGGGGTTGGTGACACTTTATGATGTACACCTCCTAACACTAGGAAGGGACACTTTTTTTTTTTTTTCTTCCCAGAACAGCCAAAATTCTTTATAGCATGGATTCAACGTGACTGAGACGCGACTGAGGATTTGAATATTATTATTATAATTTTTTATTTTTTTTGTACGATTCTCTGTAAACTCTAGAGATTGTGTAAGGAAATCCCAGGAGTTCAGCAGTTTGTGATACTCAGACCCAGGTCTGGCACTAACCAACCTTTCACGGCCAGATTCTTCGATTAGATTTCTTCCCCATTCTGATGTTTGCTTTGAACAAGTGAAATTTTTTTCACTGTGTTTGCTTTCTTTTTGAAATTAAAGACCCATGACCGGCTGCTTATTTGCATTAATGAGGAGATGTACCTAATAATTGATCCCGGAGGATACAGCTAGTCCTATATTGTAATGCATATGTTTATTATTAAATATTTTTATTTTTTTTTTTTTTTAATTTTTTTTTTTGGGAGTAATTTCTACAGTAGCACTTTTAAAAAATGTGTTATGATTAAAACACTCCAGATTGGAAACTCACCCACATCACTTCGCACACTTCTCAGACACTTGGTCCCTCCATTTTTTTTTTTTCTCTCAATGTAATTTTTCACCCTTTAGCTAGAATAGCCGTAAATCCATCTAAGCGGTATCTGTCTACCTGGCCCTATTGGGGTTATGTAAAAAGCGTGATCATGGGACAATATGCCATAAAAACTAATGTGATGCTTTTGCTGACTGTGCCACATTTAGAATGTTGCAATAGAATCAATCTTTATATGTGACATCATGGCTTCTGAAACTTGCCCTGACTTTCCATTAATAAAAACTGCGTTCAGTGTTTGCACGCCACAATTTGATCACTATTTCCCGTTACTAGCTGTGTAATCGTTCTTACCATACTGGTCTTCCAACTTGTGAAATAACCTTCATATTACAATACATGTCTCACTGAAGATGTCTTCTTTAATTCAGACACATGTTAAGACCCATTTTTAATAAGTTAACCAGTCTTCGACATCTGAGCAGATCTTATACTCTCTGAATATATAAATGTTTGTAAAGTCTACAATAAAACCGTAGGTTTTAAAAGCCATGTCTGTAAGTGTAAAATCCTCATCTAGAATGAATTCAATGGATCTTGTACTTTAAATTGTAATCCTGGATTAGAATACAGTAACTCTGAACTGCATTTACGTATAGCCATTGCTCACCCTGATAACTGTTTATTATCTTAAACTCTGTACGTATGCGCTTGTGAGATGTGTATTTTACTTTCATTTATGAGGGCACAGCAGACGCATTGTAATAGTTTAAAAGTTTTTAAACGGCTGTTTAAAAAAAAAAACACATCTGTCCATGTGTTTGAAGCCGAGAAACTGCTGCCAGGTTTAAATGCTGGGAATCAAGCAAAGGAGATTAAAGTATAAATTGAATTTTATTTGTTTTTGTTTAGACATCGATGAATGTCAGTCTTCCCCTTGTGCATATGGTGCAACTTGTATTGATGAAATCAATGGCTACAGGTGTACGTGTCCTTCAGGAAGAGCTGGTCCAAGGTGTCAGGAAGGTAATTTGTCTAGATCAACAGAACTTTGCATGTGGGGAGTATCCATACATTGCAATTCTTGGTCAAAGTTCATGAAGTGGTGCAACCAGTGTTTTCCTGCTGACGGCTCTCTATTCCTTTAGGTATAAGGAGTAGACAATATGCAACTCACTGGTTGTTAAATCACATATCTCTCTAGATTAGTAGATGGAGAATGCTTTGTTACTTCTGTAGATCTGAATCCGTTGTCCTTACGTTGTCCCCTCTGCTTTCAGTGATTGGCTTTGGAAGGTCCTGCTGGCTGAAAGGAATGCTGTTTCCACATGGAAGCAAATGGGATGAAGAGTGTAATAGCTGTAATTGTTTGGATGGCTTTGCCGATTGCACCAAGGTATGGTATATTACATGTATTTATGTGCTCCATTCAAAGAGTCTTTTTTAAAACTAAGAATACGGTTTGTGTGAGCTAGACATGGTGAAGGTTTTCATTAGCACAGAACATTAAACAAAGCTAGCATTGGATTTTAATTCCTGGTTCATCACCCCTTACTAAATGAAATGATGGCTAGCCTTGGGTCCCCTTGCTAAATGAAATGATGGCTAGCCTTGGGTCCCCTTGCTAAATGAAATGATGGCTAGCCTAGGGTCCCCTTGCTAAATGAAATGATGGCTAGCCTTGGGTCCCCTTGCTAAATGAAATGATGGCTAGCCTTGGGTCCCCTTGCTAAATGAAATGATGGCTAGCCTTGGGTCCCCTTGCTAAATGAAATGATGGCTAGCCTTGGGTCCCCTTGCTAAATGAAATGATGGCTAGCCTTGGGTCCCCTTGCTAAATGAAATGATGGCTAGCCTTGGGTCCTCTTAATGAAATGATGGCTAGCCTTGGCTACTTAAGTTGTTGAGGACTGTGTGTTTCAGCAATGTCAACATGTGAAATATCACTGGAGAAGTAGTCAAGCTGACATTGCATCATTGTAAATCCTAGCCCACGTCTATTGTAAATGTTTATATCCTATGAAAGATGGGGTAGGGTCAGGTGCCTCTTAATTATGTCAACACAGCGCCCGTTATTACATTTCTCATAACTCCACAAACCTGGCTACCTAAATAAAATATGGAAATGTGCAACTAGTGTCCATTCTGTACAGCCTGTGGTAGTGGTTACGGTGCATTGAATGCTAGGGCAACGCTTCTGTGAATGGTTTGGCTACATACCCTGGAATAACGTCAGGGCCCTCCTTGCACCTTAACTACTACATTGGGCTGCAGTGGTTATGGTGCTTCTTAGTTTACAGGTCTCTAATTTACATATTGTAGCTTAAGGCAGCACAAAGGTGAACTCCATTAGTGCTTAGCCAGGCTTTAGCAGGATTTTTTCCAGCCTTTGTCTATTTTTCTCCCTTGCTCTTTATGGTATGTTGTGTGTTGCTCACTCCATGAGGAAACATGCAGTAACAAACTTCAACCAGCGCACTGTTTGTTTTCCACATTTAAATAAATTATTTGCATGTTTAACAATTAAACATTTTAATTCCTTCCAGACTTGGTGTGGCCAGAAGCCGTGTTTGCTCGGAAACGGACATGACGGCCAGTGTGCTCACGGTCAAGAATGTGAACCAACTCTATCAGGAGTTAAATGCTTTCAGCCGCCGTGCAGTGAATGGGGAGAGTGCAGTACGCCTGACAAACCTCCAGCTGCGCTCTCATGCCTGCCAAACTCTGGGTACCTGGACAATAACTGCGCTCGCTTAACCTTAATCTTCAATAATGACAAGGTTCCCCAGGTAAGACTTCACTGGATTCTGTTTACATTCTGCTCTTTGGAAGAGATGGTAACTTTACTTAGCTCCCTTTTGTGTGTTCCATTTTTTCAGATGTTTGTATAACCAACTGAAAACTGTTTCTTCAATGAAATAGCTTGGGGGAAATAAAAGTGAAACATGTATTCCTGACCCTATAGTGTTAAAAACCCCATCTTTCCCCCCCTGGCCCCTTATGCCTCCATAAATATAGCAATTTTACTGTATTGAAGCCTGAAGCTGTAGATCTGCATGCTGTTTGCCTCAGAAAAACAAGCTGTCTGCTGACATCATCAGAAGTGGTCGCCTGATCCAATCACAGTGCTTCCCCATAGGATTGGCTAAGACTGACAAGGAGGCAGATCAGGGGCAGAGCCAGCATGATTCAAACACAGCCCTGGCCAATCAGCATCTCCTCATAGAGATGAATTGAATCAATGAATCTCTATGAGGAAAGTTCAGTGTCTGCATGCAGAGGGAGGAGACACTGAATGTTTGGATGCATTTTAGGCAGCCATGACCCAGGAAGGATCTCTAACAGCCATAGTGGCCAGTGAAGTTATCACTAGGCTGTAATGTAAACACTGCATTTTCTCTGAAAAGACCGTGTTTACAGCAAAAAGCCTGAAGGTAATGATTCTACTCACCAGAACAAATTCAATAAGCTGTAGTTGTTCTGGTGACTATAGTGTCCTTTTAATGCTAATTTGAAGAGCCCCCTTTTGTTATTAAAATGGGTAGGGGTTTACCTGAAACTTTTCTGTCTTTTACTGTTATAGGTGCACATAATACAAAGCAGTGGATAAAATAAATATATTTATATTCCTGTTGAATTTTAATATCCTGGTGTGTCTTTGTGGATCCTTCCACTTCCCATCCCAGTGCAGTAAAATAGATTTGTTAGATAAGCAGACTGAGAAGCTTGGAGCATTATACACGCATTGTATGTTACATTAAATTGTGGATTTCCTTGATAGATCTGCCATGAGATTTTGTCACGCTACGGAGTGCCCATTAATAAGGGGCAAACCGGTATCGCGTAGTCTAGCAATGTCTCAAATTAAGAGTGATTACAGAAAATGAATAGTTTGGACGTTCTGTTATATGATCCGTTTTAATGAACACCCCTTAGCATCATTCCACTTTTTTGCTGACTTGCATTTTACATTTTTCAGGGAACTACAGTTGAAAATATCTGCTCAGAAATTCGATATTTGCCATCAGTCAAGACCATATCCAGAGAGAGACAGCTTGTAGTTTTGTGTGACACCTCTTACTCAGCAGAAAAAGCAATTGATGTTGCTATAGTAAGTGGCTTTTCTTTTTTTTTTTTCTTGGTGTACTTTAAATTAACGAGCAAACATTAGGTGGATATCATTTGTAAAGGTCCCTCAGAAGTTAGTTTGCAGACATTTCTGGAAAGAAGAAAATGACAGATAAACAGCTCATCAACAAAATCCAATGGTTTGTAAAGCAACCTCTGTGAATAGGAACACTGAGTATCTGCGGTGGAATGCCAGCAGTTCTACATCCTGCCCCAAATGTTTTAGAAAAATTGGTTGATTTATAACAAATCTATATTTTTAGTTTCCGTAAGGGACCACCTCTAAATGTGAAACTTAGCATGGGTCGAGCAGAACCAAATCCTAACTCCTTTTCGCAAATGAATTTATCCTCTGCCGTTCAGACTAGTAACTGACAAACACAGACTCCAGGGAACATACTGCAAACTAAATTCACATGTTCGTACAAGTGTCATATCCTTCTGCTGAAGCCTTTAGTCTACTGAATATTACCGTAGGCAAGCAATACATGAAATAACACTGATGCATCCTAATTATTTTTTTTAGGCATTTATCTCCCAAACGGATAATCAAGATCATAGTCTTATTCAAAATGCTGCCAACACCATTGTAAATGCCATTAGTAAACGGCAGAACAGCACGCTCATGTTGGCCATCAGAGAGATGAAGGTTGAAACTCTTGTTGTAGGAAGCTCCAATTCAGGTATTTGTTGTTTTTTATATTGTTTTTATTTAATATCCATTTTTATTATTGCGGTCTGTGTAATATATGTTGACCTGCATTTGGTCTATCTTTCTATGTCCATGTCTTTAACCACAAGCCACCGAGTGTGTGTTACAGGCAGCACACTGAAATAGTTCAGTTTGGTGCCCATATATAACCCCTGCATACATAGCATTGTGTATCTTCCTCTGTATTATCTGGAGAAAGCTCTCATTTTAAGAGCTGGGCTTTAAAGTCTGAATGGCTGCATTGCTTTCTTGAATTGTTCACCGAATCCTCACAATAGGACATGCACTAATATTGTGTTAACAGAGGAGACTTGTAGGTCACTCTACATAAACACCTTCCTCCCTAGAAGTGTTCTCCAGATGTAAGTGATACATAGTTCTTTTATGCGGGGTTTAAATGGAACCAAACCGTTAACTATTCCAGTGCACTGCTTGCAAAACTCATGTCACACTAAGCCCATCGTGCTTTTCACATGACACCAGTCATACCTTCCAATACTAGGCCAGGATTAAACACTGATCACTCCACTCCGAGCAATATCTGTATGCTTACACATAATAAAAGGAACTGACTACATCCACCCCTGTAGTACTGAGAGGCTTCTCATTTAAAATGGCAGTCTTCCTGCAGGAGACACAGTATTAGGAAAACAAGGTTCTCTGCATTTGGAACCACACGTTCCCACTACCATGATTCACCAGCACCAAACACACTGCGCTTTCAGTTCTTTTCAACAATTTGTGTGGTCACTGAAAAATGTGATTTCTGCGGAAGGATGTATGTTATGTGTATACAAAATAATGAAATACAATAGTGTTCCTTTAACAAAAACTGTGCTCTGTAGTGTTAATGTGATCTATTCCTTGTGCTGGCAAGCCGTTAATTAACCTAGTGTAGCTGCAGACTGGAGCACCTCCTCACTAGTAAACATGAAGTTAATTTTTTAGGAATTGAGGAGAGCTGTGCCATGCATTGCGTAATATTTAAAGGTGGGCAGCTACGCACATAGCCACTCGCTCCATTTTTAAGGCACACACAGCTCAGTATATTTAAATAAATCTTTTAGTTCTTGCATGTGTATATCTCGCTTTAGCGGACTCTGCCATCTACAAAACAAAGAAATGGTAAAGTCCATTTAATTCATTAAGCTTTCTGTTTCCAGCCTGTACATTTGTGTATATCTAATAATATTTTATTTCTTTATTTTACAGAATATCTTGTTCCAGTTCTCTGTGCAGTTTTTAGTATCGTGTGGATTACCTGTATCATCATCTGTGTTTGGTGGATGAGGAAAAGGAGAAAAGAGAGAGAAAGACGAAGAGCTCAAGAAGTAGAAGCCAATAACCAACGGGAGCCTTTAAATCCCATCAGGAACTTTGAAGTTCCAAACAATAACAGAGACATTCAGTATGAATGTAAAAGTTTTCTTTACAGTAAAAGAACTTCTAGTGAAGAGGAGGAGAAAGAGGATGAACTGGAGGGCGAGGTGCTGGAAGACAAATACACCTCCCAATCATGCTCAAAAACTTTCACAATGAAAGGGGATGTTGACTACTCAAAATGTTCCCCTGTAAAGAAACCACATCGGACAAGTCATGACAAAGTGGATAACAGATGTGTTAAAAATGTGAATACATCCCACTGAAGGAAAACGCACCCTAATCTCTGTACAGAGAGAGGACATTGTGCCTGTGAGAATCGAGAGAGACAGAATTCATCTCTGATGCATTCACCCTTCTGCCGGTGGAGGGTCCGATGGTGGTGGTTGCGTAGAGAAGCTAGCAAGACCCCCTTCCAGCAGCAGAATGGTTTAGGACTAAAAATCTGGAGTCTGTTAATGTCTTTATATTGTGTAAGAAATGTTATAATTTTCTATTTGTTTGCATAGTCTTTCTATAAATTATTTGTGAACGATAAACCTCTTTGATAGTTGCTATTTTTATAGTTTGCTTAGAAAAAAACTCTCTCCTTTTTAAAAAAGCCAAGAGGACATAAAAGGTTGATCTGTATTTTCATTATATAATGTAAAGTGTAATGCATAAGACTGTACATTTGTTTACATAAATGTATTTTCATTTTTACTATTGGCTTATAATTTAAGTAGTGTGTCTAAAGTGTCCTGGTTGAGGAAAATATTTAATTTTATTTTTTTTCTGTGACAAACACTCCTTTTCGCCCATTTGAAAAAAATGTATTTGGCATCTCGGTAGATAATGTGCACGCAAATCACCCTTCACTTGCATTGTCATTCACACATTCATTCGTGTATTTGCAAATTTGCCTTAGAAATCTTAAAATGACGAAGTATAACCAGATCTCTGAACGGTGGCTTAAAATGTGGCCTTTTTATTGTTTGTGGGTTGGTTTTTTTATGTTAGGATTGCAGTATTGATGTATGTGACAAGTGCCTTGAGATTAAACTTTTCTATAGCAACTGTCAAAGACTTACCCTTCTGCTTTAATATAAAAGCAGAGCTTTAAGGGCCTCTTCAAAGTAAACATTGTTTATTTTCTAAGTGTGAACGTACATTTTGTAAATATGTAAATATTAAATGAATCGCTATGTATATTTGATTTATAAACGTACACCATTTGAAACTTTGTTCTTGATATGCCATTCCTTTTTAATTTATGTTGCAGAAAAGAGGTTTTAGGACTGAAAAAAATCTCAAAAAATATATATATATATATATATATATATATATATATATATATATATATATATATATATATATATATATATATATATATAATTTTTTGTTTTAATTTTTTTAAAAGTCTATTTGTTGATGTCCACATTTAGTAAGGGATGTTAATATAATCAATGTTAGTCTGTTAGTCAGTTGTACTTGCATTGTGACATTGAACAGTTATATGTAAATAGTATATAGAGATGTCTATCAGCTCCTTTTTTGTTCTGGTTCATAAGAGCAAAAGTAGCTATTCACAGTGTGTGAGAAGCCGAACATCATAGGGAGGCAAATCTTTTTCCTTTTTGTGAACATATTAATTACATATTTGTATTGAGTACTTTTTTTTTTTTTTTATGCTTAAACTACAGGCCTAATGAAGGGAACAATATTTTCCTCTCCTTTTCTCTGTTTAGTGGCTTATTTTTTATTTTTATTTTTTTATTTTTTTGGACAACTAAGAAAATAAATTTCTGCAACTAAAGTATGAATTACCTCTCTGAAAATGGTTATTCATAATTATGGCTTGAGTATTTTTATTATTTTATTTTTTTTTTTTTTTAAAGGCTTTAATACTTTCAGTCGGCAAGCTATTTATTTTCCCACATAGCATACGTGCGAGGAGGGAAAAAAATAAATAAAAATTTAACACCCCATAGTATATCAGTGGGGAAATTAAATTAACAATACAAATGAAAGTATAACCTTCGGCCAATGAACATGAACATATGAATGCTTGAAATTATTTTATACATGAATGCAAGAATTGCTTGGCAGGATATTCTGTTTAGTGCATTTTGTTTGACATGTTCTTAATGTTTCAGAATAAAAACTATTTATTAAAGCATTTTATAACAATGTTAACTCCCTCTCTCCTTATTTAACGTGCTCTGAAAGCTAACCATATCACTGTATATTTATACTTTTGTTTACCTGCATCTCTTTAAAAAAAAAAAACTATTAATTTGAGAATTTAAATATAAATGTTTTATTACATTTAATTTATCAAATGAGTTTGCCATGAAAAAGGGGGGAAGGTTGACCTATCGAAAGAACAAGAATATACTTTTAAAGGAACCCTATAGGATCAGGGACACAAACGTATTCCTGACTGTTAAAATTGCCATTTTAAGTGACTAGCCAACATTCTTAAAAGGTATCAAACGTGCCTTATTTCCAGCGCTGTGCAGGTCTGCCAAAGATGGTCCCGCTCCAATCTGCCTCCTTGGCTGACATCAGAATTTATCTCAGCCAATCCCATAGGAAAAGCATTGTTTTAGCTAGATTGTCAAAGGGGTGGTGGCCCCAATACCAGCCTGGCCAATCTGCATCTCTTCAGAGATGCATTGAACGTCAGTGCTGCACAGTGTGCACCACTCACCCAGGAAAAATCTCTAGTGGCCCTGAGAAGTGGACGCTAGAGGTGTTTCTAGGATGTAATCTAAACACTGCCTTTTCTCTACAGTCTTCAGTGACTGGATACCAACTACAATAAGCTGTAGTTAGTCTTGTGTCTATAGTGTCTTTTTTAAGGTTCATAGAAACCTATTGGTTTCTTGTGCTTTTCTATAGGAGTAATTTCCTAAACTAGCAATCGTGTAGAATGGACAAAGGAACGGTTAGTCAGCTGATGGCGAATATCAGGGCTGGAGAAGATTTGCAATTCAGCTATTTTTGTTTGAAAATGATCAGTTCCCATGTGTATCTATTTATATCATGATCGCTTGGATTCTGTTGGGATCAATTTAGTGGATCATATTCCCTATGTAGGGAGCTGTCACTTTTTCTTGTTTGCGTATAAATAGATTACAGACACAAGGCATTAAATGAGAGCTCTTCATATAAATGTAAACCCCTTGATGATAGACCGTCTTGTAATGTTTTGTGAATTGTGGACTAAGACATTGTTTTTATTAGCCTAGGGACTGTTACGTTGAGTTTTTTTCCTTTCTACACTTTTGTTTATGTGCACCTGGGCTAAATTGCTATGTATACCTATTGTAGGAGATATGACCTTTAAATAATTTCAAACCAATAATCACTTTACCCAAAGTTATTCATGTCTGAGACCTACAAGGTCATCCCCTTACAGCACAGAGGTCAAACGGATTTGGATTTCCCAAATCCAGACAGATAATCTCACATGGATTTGAATTTTCCACATTCGAGTTCGTCTTCTTTCATTACAAATATCAGGGGAATTTTCCATTGCTTAAGGCTTTTTACTTAATTTTTTTTTCTCTTTTCTTTTTCTAATCCATAAACTCCTGAATCCCATTAAGGGCATTTACTTTAGTTTTATGACACAATGTCCTACCTGTGCAGGAATAAAAATATAATGCAATTTAAACACTGTGGCGGAAGGCATTCAAAATGCCAATACTTAATAGGGGATGAGCAGATCTGCCAAGCTGTACATCCATTCACCCCTCTTTGTTTAATGACATTGCAGAAGATTGCGTTTTGCATGTAATGTTGCAGATTGTATTTATATTGTGTTTTTTTTTTTTTTAGTCCGTTTTTGTCCTTTTTAAAAAAATAGATTTCAGACTTCATCCCCCACCCTTGTCTGTCTTCTGGAATTTTTTTTTTTTTCTGTCTAAATGTATTTTAATTTTTTTCTACATAAATTTCTAACTTTTAGACTTTTCTTTAAAAAAAAAAAAAAAAGTTAAATACATTTAAATAAGATAATAGACAAAAAGTTAGACCCTAATGATAGGTCTCCTAAGTGTGCTAATTCAAGACAGGGTAATTTAATGCCCCTCAAGCATACACTTGCTTGCTCTTTTAAAACGGTATGGGGTAATTAAGAAGTAGATAATTGCAGTTATCTGCTGCACACATCTTCACTTTAAGAGTTTGGTTTTATTTTTGATGGAGTTTGCACATATAACATCATGCTATGACATCACACTATGCTATATTATGATGTCATAATTGTAAACTACAGCATTCAGGCTTGTACCAAGACTACAGGGAACAGCTCTGCATGCCACTGCAGGATCGGGGACCATAATCTACTTCCCAGTGGATAAGGTTAGCATCTGAGGTCCTCTCTCTGACTCACAGTCCCCACGCGCATGTGATGACTGGTAATCTGACATGGAATGTAATGTGGCAAACTGGTATTACTGTACAGTCTATATGGGGAGAACTGGCACGTTGTAGAATATGTTCTGCTGTTTTTAAACATTAAAGGGACAATATAGCATCAGAGCTACAACCACTTAAGCTTGTGTTGTGGCCTAGTCTATGGCCTGTCCTACAGTCTTGGCATTTCAGGGAAAAGACAGTGTTTACATTCCTGCCTAGTAACACCTCTAGTGGCAGTTACTCAGACGGCCGCTAGAGGTGCTTCCTCTGTTCAGCGTCTCCATGCTCTGCATGGAGACAGTGAATGCACCCCATAGAAATGCATTGATTCCATGCATATCTATGAGGAAATGCTGAAGGGTGCATTTTGCTGAGCATGCACAATAGCCTCCCAATACTTTTGCTTTGGGAAAGCATTGGATTGGCTGAGGTTATCAGAATTGATAATCTCCACCATGGAGGCGGGCCCAACTATAGTTCCCCTTTATTCCAAAGGTGTTTTTTTTTTTTTTTTATTAAGTGCATTTTACATGTTTGTTTGCAATTTTTTTTTTTATACCTTTTTACAGTGACCATGCTTATTGCTACTCACATTGGGATGAAACACTCCTGTGGGGACTATTTAATCTGGTCTGAGAACTGATCCCATAAATCCCTGCTGTGAAGGGTTAAGTAGTTTATAGGGGTTCAATCATCCTATGTAGATAGGTGATAGCAGCCAGCAGCTTTTTAAAAAAAAAAATTATTTTACACATATTACAAGGAGGAAGCCGCGAGCTGTTCGTTCTCTCTAAACTGAACGAACCATCTTCGTTCTTTGCAATTTATATTCGTTCGTTAGTCTTTCCATTTTCGTATTTCGGACAATAGCGAATGCCCACATTAAACTTGACATGCACTGGAATTTTACTGTGCTATTGAGTGTGGGCAGAAAACGTGTCCCACAGGCTCTTCGTCTGCCCATAGTAAGATGGCAGGGCATAGGACCAAGATCTAGGCATACAATCTAATGGTTAAAAAAGGGTGAAATGGAGGACCTAGGTGCAATTAAATGTAATGGAGTCAGGAGGGGGGGTTAAAAAAAAAATGGATGTGGCGCCTTAACGCCATGGTTTGGACTCAAAATTTGATCCCTTTCAACTGGGAAAAGGTACCTCATATATATCTGTCCCCAGGCGACAATCCCTATACATAGCTTGTAACAAACATAGCAGCATTTATCCTGGACTTTTAAAATGCTATTTGTTGTTGCTATTTCGGGTATTACGCACCTTTTCTTTTAAGTAAATTGATCTTGAAATACTTTCTAGTCTCCCTACTTAATAATGTGGAGAAACAAGCTACAGGATTAAAACTACACCACAGCAGCCTTACTCATTGACAAGCCAACATCGCCAGAGCTTGCTATGTGGCTCTGGGAAATGTGAGTGACCCATTACCTCTGTATATATACACAGGTATATGCTATGTGAGCTTTTTATGTTTTTACAAACTAATCAGAGATGTACCATCAGGGTTTTCCTGTCATAAGTATATCTCACTGTGTGTTGGTGGTGTTTACTATTGAGAACCTTGGATTTTGTATTATATGTGAAACTATACATAGCTTACTGTAGCCATTCTACCTTACCCGGAGCATTAGAAACCGCGCTAATATGGCAAAAATATATAATAAAAATGTAAACGTGTTTTGAAGAACATTATTAAATTATACAATTGAAGAATTGGTTGCCAAGACAATGCTTGCTATGTAATTTGAGTCCCTGTCTCCGTTGGTTAAAAACCCCTGTAGTAGACGTATTGGAGAGCTGTATGTGCAGCATTATATCAGGATCACATTACACCACTCCACGAGTAGAGGATTTTTACAGATGTATAGTGGGAGGACAGGCTATTTAAAGCTTTATTGGATTTTATCGAGCTCGATTGCCTAAAAGCACGGCCCTTTTGTACATTTGACACAATGAACAAGTCACAGTTCTATATGGAGAGCTCAGCATGATGATGCAGTTTCATTTTCCTGATCTGTTAGGCGCATTCTGTTTGCAGATTCTCAATTCCATACGCTGAGATATAAATGAAGGTTTGCAAAGTGATTTATTTTTTTTTTGTTTTAGTTTTGCCAAAGTCAGATGAAGATGCATTATCTCTGCTGACATCCAGTCAGACCGGCCAGGACTAAGTGTGCTTTGTGGGTTTTAAAACAAGTTCTAAATTAATGCCTGACAAAGGACGAGTGGAATAAAGCTGTATATTTTCTGTGTTCTTATTGCTTCAAAACAGCCTGAATCAGGCATACATTTATTAAAGGGGTGGTCTATGCACCATAATCACTACCTCTCTGTGTCAATTTTCTATGTGTGCTGCTCCCCCCCCCCCTTTTTGCTAGGGGTACAAAGACTGGAGCACCACAAGACAATTAGTAACCTACACCTATCCAGCCTGGCAGTTCTATTGCTCAGTGTCACTTTAAGCATTTCAGTGAAACAACTTGTTCTTTGGGAAGTGAATAGTAATATAACAAAATAAACTACAAGCACCATACCTAAATCATAGCCCTGGCACCCTCCCAAGTAAGTGAAAAAACGAATCATTTCACAACTTCACAGGAGACTACACCTGGAGGACCCCAGGTAAGGTGTAAGCTCCTTGGCCAAACACATGAGTCAATGATCTAAGCACTGCTCCCCTGGGCTCATCCCGTGCGGAGACTCCCCAAGTAAGTAAAAATATTGGGAAATAGTTTGAACTCATGGCACTATAACTAC